TAAATAAAATAAATTACTAAACTGAAAAAAAATTAATTAAAAAACAATAAATAATTAAAATAAAAATTATTCAAAAAAAGGCGCTACCGGCTAGGTAATAACAAGCGGTAATCATACCTTCTTGTTTAAAGGCGGACGGCGGCCATGCCGTCCTTTTCTTTCTGGGACGTCAGGCCTGTCGGCCGACCACTTTTCGGAGGTCCCCGTTGCTGGCCGATCAGTTTTCAGATTTAGAAAAAAAAAAAATCAGATTCAGGTAAATTGCTATTTTACCACAAAGCATGTGAAAAATAGGAGGGAAATTTTATATCATCAATTATGCATAAATATAAAAATTATTCCATTCATTATGAAAAATAATTTTCTTTGTTAAATTAATATAGTACAACAATATCGATCATTAAAGTGGAACGTTGAGATTTTTATTTATCAAAAGATATAGTAAACTCTATAATTTGATTTCCCGCGACAGCGATTTTCTCCAGCCATCGATTTGAAATCTAAGAAGATTGAAGATTAGAAATTAGTGGTTGAGGTTGAAGATTGGAGTGTAGGTTAAAGTTTGGAGTTTTAAAATTTGAATTTAAAATTTAGAATATAAGGGTAAAATTGGAAGTCATCTCTTGGTCAATGGCGGTCTTTATCTTTTTCCCGGCCTTTAAACTTCCATAAAAAGTAAAGAGAAAAATAAAAAATAAAAAAAATAAAATCCCAGTGGCATTTTTTTATTTAGAAAAAGGTCATATGTTAAAATTTGCTGGAAATCAGCCAGCCTTGAATGATACAAGTAACTCGGTAGAGAAAACCAAGTTTTTTTTTTGGGGGTAAGACCAAGGTTAGATCATCTGTTACATGAGATTTGACATAATTAGCTATGACATGAGTTACTTAATTTTTCGAACGTGGAATCCAAAATATGACTTCGAACGATAGATCTAATAATAGTTGTCTAATCTCTGACAACACAGGTAAATAAATTGATGAATAATCAGCTTGATGTAGCTGGAGAATTAATGCGATGGCTCAAATAATACATTCATGAATAATCATCTGTTACATGAGATTTGACATAATTAGTTATGACATGAGCTACTTTATTTTCTGGACGTGGAATCCAAAATATGACTTCGAGCGATAGATCTAATAGTATGTTGTCTAATCTCTGACAACACAGGTAAAAAAAATTGATGAATAATCAGCTTAATGCGGCTGGAGAACTAATGCAATGGCTCAGATAAAAAAGCTAGAAATTAGGGTTCTTTTAAGGTTATTTTTGTAATTTTCTATTAGTTGATTAGGGTTTTATTTTAATCGGTCATTTTCTTATTTAAATGCTTTTAGCTGTCACATTGTAAGTTGGTTGTTTTTGATTAATGAAAAGAGATTTATTCTCAAAACTAGTTTTCCTTGTTCCATATAGTTAGTGGGTTAAATTAGTCCCTAATTACTTTTGTTCCATATTGTTGGTGATTGTAATTAGGCTCTAATCCCGGTTTTGTTTCATATTGTTAGTGATTCCGTGGTTAGGCACCTAGATTTGATTGTTCCAGTTGGTGACCGTCTTAGGGTTGTTCCGATTGATTCTAAGCTTCCGTTTGCATCACGGCTTCTCCTATGGCCGCTAAGATGGCTACTGAAGAATCCCCCATGATAGTAGAATTGTTGAGATTAAGATCTTTCATTGGCAATAGTGCATCTTTCAACTCCATAAATTCAGCTAACTTAGGAGAAGTAAAGCCCTTCATACAACAACCTTTTGCAACAACCAATCCTCCACGTTGATCACGTATATAAACACCCATACTAATACAACCATTTTGAAACCTCCAACTAGACCGAAAGTACAAACACCTTTCCTTAGCCTAGAACATCACCCTTTCTTCGAGCTAAACTAGGTTTCCTTAGAAAACAACCAACTGGTTTGAAGCCTCCAATACATGATTTGAAAACCATGAACTCAGAACTCAATGTATCCACACGTTGTAATCACAAAATTGGACAACCTTAGTTGGAATAAGAAGAAAATATGTATGGTGATTCACGGTTAAGAAGTTATTAAAAAAAATGCCCCTAATCAACATCTTTGAATCTAATCATGTTTTCGACATGGTTGTAACAAAATCTGTGACGTAATTTGTCCCAAGACTCATCTTTCTTACTGTTCTTGGGACGGGGCCAATTGAATATTCTCTGTCCCACAATCTTTTCCTTTAAATCAACATAATCCTTCCTTGATTGAACACCATCGAACAAAACCAACTCCCTCGTTGGTGAAATACGCCAACTAGTAATAGCGGGTCGACATACTGGCGAAGGCGTGGCCATTGTTAATGAAATCCTTTCTTTCACCAGAACTCGATTGTTTTCATGGCACTCCTCTAAAACCCATATTTCAGTTGGCTCGGAATCGGTTATGCAAATAGAAGCTGGTCCAATACATGCTAAACAGCCCCCAAAATCAAAGATACAAGTCTGCCAACTTAACTTTTCGCTGAACTTTAGGGTTCGGAAAACTTCTCTCGCAACATCAAAGGCGATGAGGTAAGTACTACCACTTCGGTTAGAAGCAAGCCAATACATGGTACCATTGAAACAAGGGCCAGAAGTATGTCCCCAACCAGGGCCAGAAGTATGTTCCCGTGAGCGAATTAATAATCCAGGAGGATCTATTGTTTTGTCTCCATGTCGAATCTGATCCTATCGTATAAATTTCACATTTTAGTGAGTGATGAGAAACATACAAATGCAACACTTTGTAATCTCCAGTCACCTGATCAAAACCTATGTCAAATGAAGAATTGGCATCAACGAGTTTAGGCTTAGGCAGGCGCAAGATCTACCGGGTACTAATGTTTAAAACTAACGCCACGCCCTCTGCTCTCGAGCTTAAACATACTAAGCCGTCCAGAGGTGGAGAAATCATAACGTCTTCTTTGACATCCAGATGAATCGGAATCGATGATGATCCTGCCTCCCTTGTAGACCCAAAAAGTGACTAAATAGTAATAAGTCCATAACTAGCATGATTTTAATAGTTGTTTATATTCGATTTTGAAAGTATTTTATGCTAATTATGATGTCTTATATGTAATTTGATCATTTGAAGATTTTGGATGGAAAATGGAAGAAAAGATTGATTTTTCCAAGATTTTGTCACAACAAACCATGGATGGTGAGCCGCACACATTTAATAGCACGTGGTCATGTGATAAAATGAAAGAAGATGGAAGAGGATAACAATCATAGATAGCAAAATCAGCAAAGTAAGCAAAGTAGCACGTGATCATGTCATTCTATTCAAGAGTCTTTGTGTTTTTTATGACTCAGGTGAGATATCGCGTGACCACGCCAGTTGGGAATAAAAGAAATCAGTTTTTGGCAAGAGAGATAGACGCACAATGCGTTTTTGACCGAGTCTGCCTTCAATTTTTATTCCAAGATTTTAAAAAAAAAAATAATATCTGATATTTTATTTGGTTGTTGAGGAGTTTAGATATTATTCTGATTTTATTTTCTTTTACCAAAATAAAGGAAGACTTTTTACTAGGAAAAGACTTCTATAAATACCTCTGCAGAGAGTACGTAGTGGGACATCCGTTTTTTAGTTTTAGACTTCCTTTCTCTTTTCTCCTTTGTTCTTCATTTTTTTACTCCAATTTATAAAATCTTTTGCTTTGTTCTTCAAAATGTTTAGTGGCTAAATTTTCTTTTTCTAGTCAAAGAAATTATTGAAGTCTTGTGTTCTTGCATATGTGAGATATTTTATACTTTACTTTTATAGTTCAAGAAAAAATATTTATTTTCTACTTTCCGTTTTGTGTTATAATTGTTATTTGTTGCATTGAAGCACTGGTTAGCCTTTGATCTTCGCAATACAATTAACATTTAATATAATTGTCAGCAGCTGAATTGCAGTGCTGGTTAGCTTTTAATCTTTGCCAAACAATTTACAGCTAATCAAGCTAGACAAGGTTTTGTTAAATTTAAGAGGGCATTCAATATAATTTATTTAGTACTTAAACTATAGTTTGAAAATAGATAAACTACATGCATAAAACCCGGTTGGTGTTTAATGTTTTGTGTTAAATCTTTCTTTTTCAGCAACCATTAGAACTGTTAGTCCTGTGAGGTTTCGGAGATTTTTCTATTGGTTAAAATTAATTTTCGAGGTTTCGATTATTGCCTCGACAAAGAAAGATTGGTGATATACAGTTTGTACATTGCCATCTTCCGTTTATTCTTGAATGCTTATTTTTGTATCGATGATCATTGCAGGAAACAAGAAGGATTAGATTTCTTTGACTAGAGTTTTCCTTAAATATTTCATTTATTTCAATCTATTTTTCTTATTTTTATAAGTTAGAATCAAATCCAAAATCCCCCTTCCTATTTTGTTACTTGTTTAAAAAAAACAAATTCGCCATTTTCTGTGGAGACGATCTTACTTTCTTATATCATGTTTGTTGGAAGTAGGTTAATAATGTTTGTTAGGTTAATAATGTCTGTTGGTTTGACAGCCCATCAAGTAGTTACCTCCAACTCGAACTCGGGATTGGGAAGCAATTATGTGAAATTTGATGAATCCAGGATCACAAATTGTGGAGTTCCATGGTTTGCAAAGGCACTTGAACTGAAGCAGAGACTTGGCCGGTAGTCTTCTGAGCACTTCAATAATTAGATCATACGGGATTTACACAGATTCGGCGTACCGAGATTTCTTCATGACTTATGCTCACTGTTTCACAAGAAAAAAACCTGTTCAACAAAATACAACCCTAATGACTACCCTATAGTATTTATATAGATATAGAATAAACAAAGGCTACGTTAAACCGAAAACTAATAGGAAATCGAACTAAAACCAAGTAGAATTGAGAAACTTAGATCCAATTGAATCTAGGAACCATGATGCGTACAATCATTTCTGGATTCGAATTAATTCCAAGCATAAACTATTTATAAAAATAATAATAATGATGATGATAATAATGAACTGAATGCTTAGGTATTGCTCCCGATGGGCCATCATAATACTTTGATAGAGAAAATTAGTAATTTTATGAAATCAGAGACTGGGTGATCGTGTTTTGCCAAGTCCGTTGACTGTTCAGAAGTCAGTACTAAGAAGACACAAAGTCACAACTGATTAGAAAAAAATGGTACACTTCTGTGTATCCGATAACTAAATTCCCAGTTGATGATACAGGATCCAACTAAACCAAAGTACAACATGCAGATTTCCTAGTCTAGAACGCCTTCACTTCAAAGGTAGGTAGTTATTCATGTTGAGCTGGACGAGGAAGTAAGAACTCCCAGATGGGTCAGGACCAAGGTGCCCAGACAAAGTGACACAGCATTTGTCCAATTTCGTCAAGCTCTAACAGAGATGCATAGAACAACCAACTGGTTTGAAGCCTCCAATACATGATTTCCAGAACCATGAACTCAATGTGTACATAAAGTTGTGAAGACACACGAGATTTTTACTGTTGTTGTACACATTGAGTATACATTCCAGACTTCTTAAGCCGAGATACTCGCTTACGATGACTGCGGCCTTGAGTATGCTGCTCCCACTCATGCAACCCTCGAAGCACCTTATCGCCGCATGCCTGGAATTGATTGGAGATGTTATGAGGCTGATGAGGTGATAGTTTAGTTCATGAAAGCAAAATACTGAATCAGTCTTCCAAGTTTGCCTCATCACTAACCTCGCAACGATATTGTGTCCAGAGGTCCCTTTCAACTAACTTCATTCCCTGGAGAGTCTTTGTCGGCTCTTCCAAGGTGGTATTACCATGAAGGAAAGAATTGACATTTCTGAGAGCGGGTTCCACCACTTGAGATGCCCATAGATCGTCAGAGAAACCTGCACATGGACGGTGATGAAAATACAGCTGAATATGAAATGCTAACGCATACCCGAACGCATTGTGATTTCGAAGAGAATAATAATGATGAAGAATAAAGAATATTAAAACACAAAAAGACGTACATAATAATGATTCTGTTGAATCAACATGGTGGATGATCCACCCAAAAAGCATTTGCAGTCGTTTTAGCCTCCTCTTCTGTAAGTGACGAAAAACATTATTAACTATCCAAAGGTAATTGATAAAGAATTCATATCAATGGCAACCAAGACACAAGATATGCCTATGAACTTAGAACTCATTTGGCAATTTAATATTAACTCTCTTCTTTCTAGATCCCACCCACCATGGCAGAAAATCCTTCAATTGGTGTGATCAAAATCATACTAGCAAAAGGGTAACCCAGCAGGTAGATTGTTTAGTGATCAGAGAAAATTCTGCCACTTGACCCCACCTCCCCAACCAAACCGAAAAAAGTTTACAAAAACAAAAAAAACACAAAGAAAATCTGCCAACCAGTTCCATTAACCATCACAACAATCGTAGTACATCAAAAGAAATTTTGGTTTAACTGATGCAAATTTATGGGCTCTGAAAGGACACAGGCTGTAATCTTCCAACTAAAGAGGGCAAATAACAGAAGTTATACAAAAATTACACTCCAACAAGCTTGATCAGGGAGGAAAGTAAATATCCCAGGTAATTTCATAAGCAGGAGATTCTAGATTCATGCTTATTTCATGCAGGAAAAAAACAGAACATAGGCATAGAGATCAGCTTACTTGGCGGCGTACAAGTCTTCTGGTGTTTAACTTCACTCTCTCTATGGCATCGGTTAACAGGACTTTGAGCTGGTTTTCAGTTGGTGCCTCTAGGATTTGCCTCAGATGTTTACATTTCCTATCAACTGATATTAGATAATCCGAATTCTCACATCCATGCCCTGGACCATGCATGTAAAATTCAAGAAAATCTGCAAATTCACGGACTCCAATTGCTTGTCGTAATCCCCGAGTATAGTCTGCATTCATCGTGTAAATATCAAAAACTTCATCGAGCAGACCAGAATTCACCATGCAATCCACCCTTTTCCCAACATAATCATCCAGTGCAGCAAGGGATGCATCCACACAGATGAAACAGCAATCATAGTGGAAATTATCAACTTGACCCCAGTTCTGCCCTGCCACAAGCAAGTGAGAAGGTTAATCAAATGCAAGGAGTCAAAGCACCTCAATATTACAGCCCATTGGTTCTTTCAGACGAGGATTTTTCAAGCCTAAACTTGATTCAAAAAGAAAATATGGCACTCAGCACACAGAAAACTAATTAACTGGACGACAGCATCCTGCAGAATATCAGCAGCAAACTAAACAAAACTGCAAAGAAGAAAAGAAAATAAAGGCATACATTCAGAAACATGGCTGGTAACAGAAGTAAAAGTGTTTAATATCAACTATAGCCAGAAGTGTAAAATATGTGAAAACCATCATTTAAAAACTCCTAAATAAACACACCTCCATAGCCTTCTCCTGCAGAAGTTTGCTGGGAAGAACACCAAATCGTGTGTACAACGTCAGATATTGAGAGATCTGTAGAAAACATCAACGCAGCGTGAAAACTTTGATATGAAAAATTTCGAAGACCACTGTACTGATGTCTTTAAATGAAGATGTCTCAAAGTTTTACTCTTCCTGGTTTTATCTTTTAATAATCACAATATGGCTATGTTTATATGGATTTCACATAACATTGGTACTTTTAGAAAAGAAAACAGTTCAGAACCATTTCTTTTTACATTCAATATGTAAGAGATTACTTAGGCAATCTGCTAACCTTTCTCTGATCATTAGGATGAATACGATTTGCAGCCACAGGGTCAAGTTCTTTGAGAAATTCATAAGTCAAGGCAGAATTCTCTGCTACAACCTCCAACATCACATCTCCTACAATTGTGGCCAAATTTTAAAAAAAGTTGTGTTACTGCCGATATTCTCATTGCAAAACTGCCCTTTGCAATCATATATCTACAACTTGGGAATCAAAATTACCAGTTTCGGCAGGATCTAATGGGCAATTTTCTTCCATGTCATCCACAGAATCATTTATGAGGAAGGGACTTACCAGAGCCTGAACAAGAGTAAGAGATTAAGAGCTATAAACCAGGAGATGGGTAAGTATAAGAACTTGTGTGTGGATGTTGTGCAAGATGAATATAGACGAAACACAAACCAATCAATCCAAACCAATAATTTCTTTTGATAATAATTAATTAATTAACAGGTTATTTGAGCATAAACAGACAAATATTAGGTAGTAAAAAGGTCAAAGTATTGCTTTGCAAAGGAACAATAAAATTAAGTAGAATCTGTCCATACAGAAGCTTAAATCCGGAATGCCAAAGAAAAAAAGCTTCCAGAATGAAGAAAAAACGAACCACATAAAAGAAGCCGGAGGAAGAAAAGGCTACAGCACAGTTGTACAAAGAAGCAAATTTGGCTATCTCTACTGACTAAATCCAACAACAAGAACAAACCCTGCTTTTGCAGTTCTTCACTTTGCAATATTGCAAAGCTTTAGAACCATCAGAAAGGGCTAAATCTTTGTGAAGTGAGGGCTACGTATCCACACATAACTTGCACAGATTTGCATAAAAACCGACAGTAAGTTTTTGCTCACAAAAGTCAAAAGAAATTGGAACCAGTAATTATTGACTACTGACTGCAAATGCAGAAAGAAATTTAATCTCAAAGTTTACTTTTCTCAATGATACGATAAAGTGACACATAAACATTGAATCTGAAATTAGATAACCTTTATCAATTTCAATTATACCAGTAATTATGAGCATATTGTAAACTCTACCAAAATGACCTACTTGGATGTAGTAATTTGTTCCGCCGACTATGACCGGTAGCCTGCCACGGGAGCATATCTCCTTAATTAGCTGCAAGACAATTTGCAAAGTGCCAAATTTAATAATTCTTCCCAAAAGTGCCAAGGAAAGCTTATACACAACAACCAGACCTTTTACACACATATATGAAGACTGAGAAGACAGCATCCTCTCAGAGGCATTATGTCTACAGATACACGAATCACTAAATGTGAAACAGTTATCATAAAGCCCCAAAGACTAGGAGACTAAAAAGCATAAGCAATGTCATCCTAAATCCCTCAATTCTACTCGGTAATGCAGCTAACAGGACTGTTTGCCCAGAAACTTATAGCTGACAAAAAAATTCAAAGCATATGCTTAAAGATAGTAACAAATTTTAGAACATCCTTAATCAAATTCTCAAAAGCGTACACCATTCACCTACAACCAACTATGCTTCAATGACATTATGCAACTAAAAAGATGAAATTTGTAAACTTCAATTAAGATAAGTCTTACAGGAATAGCAGCTTCCTTGAAATGTTTAGCTGTGAATTCAACGTTAGGACTGATGGTACCCAACAAATGATGCGGCACCCCTGTCAAAAACATCAAGAACCAGTAAGAAGATCATTAACACCAAAACCCCAACCAAATCCACAGAACATTCTCAACTTTCAAATTATCACTGAACGAACCCTTTTGCTCTAGGAGTGGCACTTTATTGGTTAGAACATCCAATCCACTATACACCTACAAATATCAAACAAAAATGGCGGGAAAAAAAGAAATTAAGAAAAGGGGCAAACTTAGAAGTACATGAATCGAATAAAGAATGATCCTCTGAGAAATTAAACAGTTACCTGCATGGAGTCGGCGTTGATGATTTCAATTGGGAAATGTGATGCGAGGTCAATAGCGAGTTTGGATTTGCCAGCCCCAGTTGGTCCCATGATTACTAAAATTTTGGGCTTTGAACTAGATTCAGTACATGGGTTTTCCTCCATGATAACTGTGTTTACCGGACAATCATCGTCGTCGAGGTTTTGATTTTGCCGCCGGGGTTCTTCTCCGCCGCTGGTCATTGCTCACAGCGCCGCCGTCGTAAGAATATTAGTTTGGGGAAGAAAATTACGGGTAAAGCTTAAGAATATTACACTAAGGCTCCCTTATCTTTTCTTATATTGCGTTACAGGTATCAAAATAATGTTATAGCTTACTCCCTCCGTCCCATAATTATTGTTCAGTTTGGATTTTCATTTTTAATACAAATTGAACTAAAAATGAAAACTCAAAGTGAACAATAACTTTGGGACAGAGGAATTATTTTTTTATTTTTTTGATAAATACATTACCCTTGTTGCCCACAATTATAAATAAAACCATAAATTTGGTTTCTTGATCTGATAAAATTCATTTGCTGCCAAAGTAAGTCGAACTCAGACAATTTGTAACTATGGAGCAAAATATACTTTTTTTTCGGTTTCAAAATGAGTTCCAAATTTGTTACACTTTACTACTTTAGAAAACCACACATAACAAACATATTTTGAGATGTATTTTCTCCGGTTATTATAAGATATTTTGATTTGTCTTAAATTTCACCTAATATCTTTTCCATTGAAAGAAAAATATTAAAAAATTTTCAATAATTAAGAAAACACAAAAAATATGAAAATATAGTTTTAAAGTTTTTCTGTCAATTTAAAAAACGTATTACGTGGAACATAAGATAAATCAAAATGCTTTAGAGCAACAACAACGCTATAACCAAAAATGATTGAAATGATGGTCCCTCATTGCCAGCTCAGCATTTACATTTATCTCATATCTTCTCACAGTTGAGTTATCATGAAATGAGTTGACCCAACTAATCCAATTTTTTTCAAAAATTTTTCAATTAATAATAAAATCAGTATGTTTTAATTCATGTAAGCCCACAAGAACTGGTTTATTTTGCAAAAGTAACGTAATTAAGAGAAAGTGTAAGTTTACTTGTCTCCGATTCACAATAGAAGAGAGAGAATAAGGGAGTAACTGGCGCACTTTTCAGCGTCTCTTACCTTGCATTGCGGTTGCTCTTATAATAAGGACCGAGTGAAAATATAAAACATGCATTTGGTATGCGACCTAAGATTAACAAATAAGACTACACTAGTTGATTTGGTAATTTGCGGTGGGAAAAAGTAAAATAATAAATTAAACAAGAGTCAGATGAAGAGTATTAGTTAATTAATACTCTCTTTATTCAAAAATTATTGTTCATTTTAAATTTTTAGTTTTTAGTACAATTTGTATTAACTATTAAGAATAAAAATCCAAAGTTGACAATCTTTTGGAGATGGAGGGAGTAACAACTTTACCACTATCTCATATCAATTGCTAAGTCTACCGAGGCACCACCCCTCTTAATAGCAAGTGTGATGATGCTTAGGTTTTTCATTTTTATAGTGTATTAGCTTTTCACGTTATTGGAGACCATGGGAATAAAGAATAACATATCAAGTTTCAGTTGATGGTGTATTAATCTTTTAACTCGTGTCGATAATATTTTTGAGCTTTGAAGACTATGACGGAAGTTCTCTGTAATCTTATTTTCTTTTTCCAATTAAGAAAGGAAAGGTAAAACGCAAAACACATTAAAGGCTACCACTTGTTGAAGAGAAGCTATCCCTATAATGTCACAAACAGAAAACAGCAATGTATTACAGTGACTGAAAATATGGACAATTCTGAGTTACAAATGATAAAGAAAGAAAAGGATTTCACATTTACAAATTGGAAAGCAAATGTCAGGTTCTTCTGGCTTGCAGCAACACAGGTGAAAAAAAAAAAAATCATTGTGTTTAATAAGGTAAAACAAACAAATACAAAATGATCCCAAAACAGGAACACAAAGAGAAAAATCAAATAGAAGAATCCAAATTCCAAGCGCACAAGTCAATGTAAGTTGCATCCATGAAGGTAAAACAAATTTTTGCAGCACCAAAAGTTTTAGTGTAAGGATTCAACGGTCTTGCTCAGCTCCTCCAATTTCTTCAGCCTTAGCTTCTCACTCTCACTCACCAACTAGACAACAAAAAAAAGATCAAACGAAGCAAATTAGTATGCAAAAAGTGCAGTTTACAAAACCATTAAGGTTTTGCCAGATTAAGGAAGTGTTGTAAGGTTACCTCCATTAATTTGCTGATCAACTGAGCCTTTTCTCTGTTCTTCTCATTGAAAGCCTCAATCGACTCTTTGTATTCCTTTTCCTGCAAAAGAGATTAAATGTACAAATATGATTTGGGCTGGAATTTAAAATGCAAAAGGGTTCTTAGAACAGAGGTTTGTTCTTAATAAAAACTCAGTTTTTATGATCATCACCTTTCTCTGGCAAGTCTGTCCTAATGTCTTCAAGTCTCTGTTAATCAGATCAACCCTTTTCCGAATAATCGCTACTTCTTTCCTTGTTGGATCCGCAAGAGCTTCAAGTTCCTACTAGATTTTCAATCACCAAAAAAGAAACCAAACAAGCAATTAAGATTATTGGAAAACAAAACTCTGTTTTTGAACAATGCATGAAAGTATGAACCATTGGTTTCTTATACTAAACTTACCTCCCGAATTTCGGCCAGTTTTCGAGTTTCTTCTTCAACCCGACCCAACTGAGTTTGAACCCTTTCCCTCACCTCAGCCTTCTTCCTCTCAATCTCTTCCTCTTTGGCTCGAAACGCCGACAAAGCGGTCTTCGTCATCTCTTCCTCTTTCTCATCATTCAATGGGCTTCCACTGTAATTCAGGACTCCTGAATTCTTAACCCGCATCATCATCTGCTGCTGCTGCTGAAGATCCAAGGCTTGTTTCTGTGTTGACATCAAGCTAAAACCTGTTTGCTGCTGGAAATTTGCCAATTTCTTTTCTTGTTTGCTGTTTGTTTTTCTATCTTATTGTATGGAAAGGAGAAAATCTTCTCTTTTACTTTTTGCCTTTTTATGGGTTGGAAATGATGGGAAATGCTCTGTTTCTCCTCTGTTTGCAGATGCTATAACAAGGTTGTCTTAAAAGTAAGGTTCTCTTACTAGTATTTAAATAGTGTAGTGCATATGACCATTGTGCCCCTGGATTACATGATTACAAAAGAACATTTGAGATTACCTGTTGATTTCAACCAAAAGTTGGCTGTCTCCCACAGTTTAGGGCCTTCCCTAATCATTTGATTAACATCTGCCTTTTCTTTAACTGTTAAATAAATATTAAAGTTAACTATAAAACACCTCCTTGAAATTTGATGGATTCACACAACCACCCTTTAAAGACGTATTCTCGAAATCTACAACCTTTACTTTTGAATGTTGCAATGTTTATGGTTGTTAATGGGATTCAATTTCAAGGCATTTCATTTACCTTAGATCGATCAAACAGGAGAAATGCACTATTGAAATTCAAAATATGATGAAGATGACAATTCAACTTTTTATAGAACTTCTTCGCAACCTAAGAAAACTTTGAGGGGGGTCGTTTGCAATTAAGGCTGAGAATTATCTGCCAAGCAATGGAAATTTCAATTCATTGTCGGGTAAAATAACTGTTTTCTAAAGTCGGTATATTGGCAAATTGATCAACTAACAACTTCCATTGATGGATGATCTTCAAAAGTTTTAAACAATTTGTTCAATTTTTTAAAATAGTCATATGATAAAAACAATTGTTTTCAGCAACCGACCCTTAACTATTTGGTTATAACCAAACATTCTCTTATCTAAGTAACATAACTTTCTTAAACTCTTTTACATATGGCTTTCAGCAAGATCTTGAAATGCGACATTATTGCCCGATTTCTCAGTGTTAGCATTCAACCAAAGCCTCATTTCCATGTAACTAATATGCATTTTGGTAATTTTTTAGATATATACTCCCTCAAATCTCAAACTGAATAATCATTTAGGGACGGATGGAGTATAAAGTTACCAATATTGTAATTTAGTTGTAGTATTTCTTGTTAGTTAATTTATGGTTAATTAAGCTCGAGCAAGTTGAAGAATATAATATTTGCATGACAATTGAGAGGCGTAGAGGGCAAGAAAAGAGTAGGAGAGAAGTAGACATTCCTCAATTTTGATCACTTTATCATATGCTATTGCAAGCTAATCAGTAATCACCTTCCAACTTGGTTGGGGGGCTTTCATGAACTATAATACTTTTCCTATTTTCTGATTTCATTGTTTTCCAATTTTAACCTTTTTTTCCCTCCAAAGAAAAAGTGAATTAATACTCTTTTGCTTTATTATCACAATTCAACCATTTTCCAATGCCCTTGAAAATTATTCTTTCTACTTTTTAATTTTGTAGGTGTATTTGCTCAAAATTTATAGACGAATTACTCTTGTTTCACATCAAATTCAGTTTTTATCAGGACGATCAACTTTTTCGTCATAATACTTTATTTAATCTCTTTTGAATGATTTTTTTTTTAAAGAAATAGTTTATATTAAATTTGCTGGAAATCAGCCAGCCGTAAATGATACAAATAATTCGGTGGATTTAATCAAGTTATATCATTTGTTATATGTGATTTAGCATAAGCACCTATAACTTGAGCTACCTCATTTTCTTGTTGCGGAATCCAATATATGGACATGAAAGAGAGATATAATAATAATTACTTAATCTCTAACAATACCGGTAGACAAATGTACGAACAGTCAGCCTCTCCTCTGGCTGCTCAATCTCTTTTGAATGCTCAATTACATTCTTGTATTAAAATGATTCATTTACTGACGAGTCCAAAATAAAACCTAGGCCTATTGGGCCTCGGATTAGGTTACTTGGAGATTAAACCACCACCTAAACATATTCTGCTAGGGTTTCAGGAAACAGGTAACACCACCTCTATATTAAGAGGTGGTGCCTCTCCCATAATACATATCTTCTACCTATCTTCTACACCTTCTACGCACGATACACATCCTCGTCTCTCTATTATCTTTATACTTTTATTGACTTAAGTATCGGAGAGTCTACCCTCGGGAGACACCCGAGACTCTGTCTTGTAGGTTTTAGGCCGTCCGCCGCCACCTAAGTCATTATCGCCGCCCGTCCTAAGTAGCGTACAAATCTAGACTTCTTCAAGCGGCACGCCCAGTGGAACCGATTTGTTTGATCTTCACAACCAAATAAATTTCTTGAAGCGAAGTTGAAATTTGTTAGTGCTTTAAGCTGCGCAACATCACCAGTGTCATGGCGCAAGAAAAACAACAAACAACTGTTACTACCGTTGAAAAAGACAAGCAGGCAACTCCAGTGGAACTATCCCCTAACAGGCCGTCTGGTGGTTTGTTTGATCAAAACCTCATGGAGGCCTTTTTTAAATTTCAACCTACCTTGTTCAAAAAGTTCTAAGATTTTGTGAAGAGCTTTCATGAACTCGACAGCAACCAGCGACAGCTCTTGGTCGACAATCTGGGTACCTTCTCGAAAGAGGACAACCATAGGGGAACCTCTCGAGAACATCACCTTGTAACTCAAGAAGAAACTCATCCCTCTCGAGCAAACGTACCTCCGCCTCGAGTCCCCTCAACCATCGAGGAGCAACTGTGTAAGGTTCTCGGATCTGAAGGAGACAAGGAGGAAGACGACAGTCCATTCATCCAACGTATCCGAAACACACCGATGCCCGATAAGTTTGAACTTCCCAATTTGAAGGCTTATGGAGGAGATTCTGATCCTATGGTTTTCTTACAGATTTATAAGAGTGCTATGAGATTAAGGAATTCTTCAAATGATTTTATGTACCGGGCATTCCCTACCTATCTCACAGTGCAAGCTTAACTTTGGTTTGGAACACTACCCCCGGGGAGTATCCAGTCGTTTTATGAGTTGGGAATCTTGTTCCACACTCGGTTTTTTCAAAGGAAAAAGATTCGCAAGACGATTACTGAGTTAATGTCTCTCAAGCAAAAACGAGAAGAATCTATTGAAACTTATTATAGCCGCTTCACCAAAGAATAACTTCAAGTCGAAGGAATATCTAAAGAAACGGTTGTCGCAACCTTCACCAATGGTCTTTATCCATATGGGACACCTGCAACTCTCAGACACAAGTTGACAAAGGAGCCACCACATACATTACAACAACTCTTCTCGATCGTCGAGACTGAAGTTCGAGCCGAAAAAGATCTCCGTCGAGCAAGAGACAAGCTCAATATTCGCGAGAAACAGATTCTCGAGAGCAAAGCTAAAAGCTCGGGGGTAGATTATGGCCGAGAACAAAACAAGATGCATGATCGAGACAAGGGGCATGATCGAGAAAAATGCAAGTTCAACAATACAGAGTACACACCTTTAACTCGTTCTCGAGCAGAAATATTACAAATCCATAAGAACGAGTTGGAGACCCCACCGCCTATGCTTGCTCCTCCTTATAAAAGACCACATCATTTATGGTACGAGTTTCATAAGGATCACGGACATAAGACAGAAGACTGCAGTGCTTTAAAGGATCAAATCGAAGAAGGACTTAAGAAAGGCAAATTCCAAGAGTATTTGGATTTCTCAAGAAAACCAAGGCCGAGAAGAACCTCGAATCTATATCAGATAAGGTTAATTATTAGTCATAAGAGACAAACTCCATATTTATATTTTTTGCACTTTTAAATATTTCTTGTCAATGACTTCAACAATTATCTTATCATTGAGAATTTATTGTACTATTAACTTTATCCTGAGATTGGCCATCTCACGGATTCAGATTCTCGCGGTCCACCGCGCAAACACGGATACTCTCTAACAATAAGACCTCCTCGAGGCATTCTATTCTCTTTATCTTTCTATAGGTGACACCAGAGAACGGGGGCAACACTACGAGAAGACATCAACACTTGTAGCAACCCATATCCTTCTCAGCAAGTCTCGAGAATATGGCTTGCTAGGGGCACTTGACGAGTCCAAAATAAATCCTAGGCCCAATAGCCTAGGATTAGGTTACTTGGAGATTAAGGCACCGTCTAAACCTATTCTGCTAGGGTTTCAGGAAATAGGTAATACCACCTCTATATAAAGAGGTGGTGCCTCTCCCATAATACATATCTTCTACCTATCTTCTACACTTTTTACGCACGATAAACATCCCTATCTCTCTATTATCTTTATTCCTTTATTGACTTAAGTATCGGAGAGTCTACCCTCGGGAGACACCCGAGACCCTATCTTGTAGGTTTTAGGCCATCTGCTGTCTAGGTTATCATCGCCACCCGTCCTAAACACCGTACAAATCTAGGCTTCGTCATTTACCATTTTATCACGCTATAAAATTAAATACTTGCAAAAGGGAGAAACAATGCGTTTCAAACTATAGAGTAGTAGCATATCATGCACTTATTCACTTTATTCAATTTTTTCTGATTTTTGCTAAAAGGATTAGTAGCTAATGGTCCTATTTTAATTAATCGAATATTCTAAAATCAAATACAAATTTCAAGTTCTTAAGAGAACATCAGAATAGTATATCGTCTCTGCGGTCTAAAGCAAAAAAAATCCAATGCATACGATATTCTTACACAAGAAAAGAGATAGATTTGGTAATCCTTAATTTTGCTTTATGCAACCCAATAAGAACTTTATAGTAATACTACTTTTTACTTAACGGCCAAAATACATGATTAGCTGTTTAACTTCTACTTTCTAATCTTCGTGTGTATGGACTGAATGATTAATTTTGTGACCCACCTTGACTTTTTGTTCCAAAGATAAATTCCATATTTGACAGATTTTCTACTCAATACTCAAATGAAATCTTTATTGTGTATGTCTGGTGTATTAACTCGGTATTTTAAATGACGTCAAATTGCTAATGAAATATGAAAAACACCTCATTAATCTTTGGACATTATATTTACACTATGCCTCAAATTTGGGCAAATTTTCTCGCTCTTTTTTTTTTTTTTTTGTTTTGGTTTTTAAATCTAGAATTTAAAGCATGTTTCTTTGTTCTAAAAGGTCCCATGTAAATTATGGGGGAGCTAACTTTTTAAAGTGAGCTTCTTAAAAACTTTAAGACTAGGTGACTTAGGTGAGGTTTTGAACAGGTCAGTCCAGCAAAGTTAACACCTGGATTCTTTCTTTCTTAGGTTATGTTCCAACTTCTTCATTCTATTCCTTTATAGCTTTTGTATATTAATTCTTTATTAAGTGCAAAAGGCTTCATGTCCTCTAGCTGCAAAGCTACAGGGTTTATCAATGAGAAAAAATTAGGGTGTTTTTATCGTGGTTAGAACACGACATTGTTATTGTGTCTTACAGACACGATTTGTTGTAAAGTAGACATTTTGCTTTGTTTATTGTACCGAAAAAAAAAAGAAGAAAAGAAATTAGAGTGAATACATGGAAAATTGAGGTTATCCACTTTCTGCAGATAAACAAGGTGCAATTTGTTTATCTTGAATGATTTGATGGCTTCAGATTCTTGGTTTTGTGACATACTAATATGGGTGTTTTTGGATGATTACTGTTGATTTGTGGGGAAAAGTGGTCATTTGGTATTGAATATTAGTACATTTGATGATTGAAAATTCAATACAGCTATCCAAGAATTACAGATTCATTGCCAAAACTCTGTTACAGACAGAAGAGAAATTTACAAGAAGAATGAATTAGAAAAACAGAAGCAAAACTAGTCCTGTATATATATAGGCTGTGTAAGTGGACTGCTATGAGCATATACAATTTGACTAGTATCTGAAAGACCTATACATAAAAAATGCCAATTCTCTGAACTGGAAAAACACTTGTGTTCTATTTATCTGCGTTGGAAGTTGAGGAACTTGATGCCATATGCAAAGACTAAAAAGAACAAAAGCACCCAACCAACATGGGCAAACACCACAGGGATGAGGAAATCATGATCATAACCCAAGCCGTCTTTGAGAAATTTGTTGAGTGGCATCTCACTACCATCAGGGAGTTTTATGTTACCAGTTTTGTCACCAACTTGAGATGCAAAGATACCGTAAATCGACCATGCAACTGGTGAGCACCAGTAGTACCACCTCCACCATATTGGGATAAGCTGTCAAACCATTTCATTCACATATTAGTACAATTCATTCATAGATTCAGAAGTTGTTGATCGCACATTTCTAATGGTATAGTTTTACTTACAGGACGCGGGATGAGGAAACCGGAGAAGAGATTCCAGAAGCTCAAGAAGAAGGACATGACAATGGCAGCAATTTGATAACCAGGAGTCAGCGCGACAACCATCATACCGTACATTGAGAAGTAGGTGTAACACATGAAGATGAAGTAGTAGAAATAGAAGAACTTCACAGCGGTCCATTCATATCCGATCATTGAGTACAAAAGAAGTGTGTAGATAATGGTCTGAATTGCAACATAAATAGTTTCTATTGCAACCTGAGAGATTAAAGGATATGAATGTGTGTTCAAATCAATTTGCTGAAGAGGCAAACAAGAGTCCACAATATAATGAAGGTTTTAAGGCATTCAATGCTTCACCTGAGCAAACGCATAAGGCAACTCTGAATACATTCCTGCTGCTCTTTCACGGTAGAAAACTGTTCTCTCAATAGCTACAACAGACTGTACGGCAGAAGCATTGGTAGCCCCAAGGAAAAGAACAGCAGCATAAGTAGCTCCCAGTAAATTAAGCAAGTCCTGTTGTCGATATCTGTTTGCAACAGAGACATACAGTAAGAACCGATGTTAGTACTATACAACGAAATAAATTACATTAGTACATCTACAGGTTCCTGCATCCGTTTAAGGAAAACTTACATGACATCCCCTTTTTTCCAAAAGATCACACCAAACATGACTCCAATGACAATGGTCATAAAAAATCTAATGGCGTTGTACTGCGAATTCCTCCAGTATGACCAGTGTTGTTTCCAAAAGCAAGCCTTGCACTGGGTTAAAAATGGCTGAGAATATTGTGTGGGGAAGTATAGATCCTTAGAACCAGGTTCAGGGGTGCTCAACTCCTTTATTAGCTCCTGGTTTCGCCTGGAAATGAAATTCAGTATAGAGCTCAGTATTCTTATAAAGCAGGAGATATTTATCACTTGGCTGAGAAAAGTTTTTCAGTTCATGAATATTTTGACTCTTGCAATTACCTGTATAGATCGGAGGTGGCATATACTTCTGCAAAATCTACTTCAAGTTGAGTTTCCATTGCACTAGTACTGACATCCAACATCCAGGTGGCCGGATTATAACCCTCTTTGATCTTGGGAACACCTGGTACAGCCTGCAAGATTGATTGCATTTAGTTCATTTTTTTTTGAAAACCTGAGATTTGTAAAGTTGGTGATTTTCAGAGAACAAGATAGAGAGAGTTATCTGGAGAACCTCACCTCAAAATATTCTATAAGCTTGTGAGATTGACGACCGAGAGGTCCGGCATATATGACTTGTCCTCCTCTCTTCATAAGCAAAAGCTGTAGGTAAAAGCAATGGGTAAAGATAGCGTCGAGTGTATCAAATAAGAATTGGTTACGAGGAATAGGGAAATGGAGCAAACCTCATCAAAAGCTTCAAAGATATCTATGCTAGGTTGATGGATTGTGCAAACCACAGTTCGGCCTGTATCTACTGTATTTCTGACTGTACGCATAACAATTGCAGCAGCTCTGGCATCAAGTCCTGAAGTGGGCTCATCCATAAAGATTATCGAAGGATTAGCAACCAATTCTACTGCAATAGTAAGTCTCTTTCTCTGCTCAGTTGAAAGACCATCCACTCCTGGAAGTCCAACAATAGCATTTCTCAAAGGATTGAGCTCAACCAAATCCATGACCTCTTCAACAAACATCTGCATTAAGAATTGTGATGGAGGTTTAGCCTAATGATGCAAAACTAATTGAACAGATAAATAACTCAAATAGTCAGGCACTTGCCTTTCGAGTTTCAGTCTTCACATCAGAAGGAAGCCTTAGCCAGGCCGAATAGAGGAGCGACTCATAAACTGTTACATATGGTGAGTGGATATCGTTCTGTTCACAATAGCCACTAACACGAGCAAAAGTTTCTTGATTCTTTGGATATCCTGAAATACTTATGCTTCCTTCGATGTACCCTCCTGTCTTTCTACCTGCTAAGACATCCATCAATGTAGTCTTTCCAGCACCACTGACACCAACCAAGGCTGTCAGAACACCAGGCCTAAAAGCACCACTAACATCCCTAAGAAGCTGCAGCTTGTCTTCTTCAATCCCTTGACTCTTCATTTCCTGATATGAACCAAATCAAGGTTGTAACAAGGATAAGTGACGAATATCCATATACCATGGAATGAAATGTAGCCATGATAGCTGAAAACTTAAAATGAGCATCAGTAACTTACCGCAGGCATGTCCACATAGTAATTTACATGGTTGAATGCAAGTGAAAGTGGTTGGAAGGGTAAAACCATTCCTCTACTTGCTTGGTTGTTAGTTGCACTCGTCATGCCATTTCCTTGAGCATTTCTTATCGCCATTTGAACACCTGTAATCGCAAAGGCATATCAGGAAAATATATTCATGTAATGCAAGAATGCTGATAACAGAAAAGCTCAGTGCCATAAGTCACAGTGGAGAAGATTAAGCAACGATTTGATGAAAGAGGTTATAACACTTTAGCAGAAAGTTCACAGCACATCTGGTGACTTAGTTACATAAATTTAAAATTTCTCATGAATTGAAAACCTTTACTTGGAGTTGCATATTTGGTGTTTCTGTAAATCTATGAAAATCAGTTTTAAGAATAACAAAATCCTGCTTCACGGTGACACATAACTAATTAGACAACGGACCTTCAGAATTAGATGCAGCTGCCCGTGTGCGGTTGTCCTCCTCTTCTTCTTCAATTATAACAGCCTTTGTATCTCCAATAGCTGAGATTCAATGTCAGAAAATTAATACATGGGCACATTCAGCAAATAATTTGCAGAATTTCAGAATATAAGTCAAAAAATGAGACTTACGATTTAAGAATGTCAATGCTGCAACGAATAGAACATTGAAGAGTAGCGAAAAACCAAAGAGAGCTCCGATACATATCCAGTACCAGGTTTCAGTTGTAAATAAACCTCTATCCCGAAGAAGGGTTTTTCCAACCGTATTTTCAGTGCCATTAGTGGGCTGCAAAAGATAGACAAGAAAATTGAGCTAGCATGTTCTATCTACTAGTTTCAAAATTCTCTGGAAATCAAACAGAAACCGTTTGGTTCAAATCCTAAGGATGTCTTACCGTGCTCCATCTTTCAGAAAGAAATTCATTGATGGCAATAGCATTTTGTCCATACATCATAGGAGAAACATAGTACCCCCATATCATCCAACTCTTGATGTCATCTGCAAGGAAAGATTGAATAGTAGGTGATTTAGTTAGTTCCTGCAAACTAGGATTATATTCACTCTTATTAGGGTGTGCAAATTGATCTTCACCTTTCGCAACAATGAAGCCTCCAAGAATAAATACCAACAGCAGTGTGAATGTTCCAAGTGTGTTTGCTACAACTTGTGATCTTCCAACTGCTGCAATGAAACGAAACAAAGAGAGCGCCACCTGATGGATGCCGACAAATGCCAATAACTGTTTAAAGAACCTGAAAATTACAAACAGAATCACCATTAGCATTTTTAAGAAAAGGCATAAAATTTTCCATCGATGCACAAAAATGAAACTTACCTAGTAGCAGCAGGAGCAAATCCAATGGTGTAATATGTGAAAATAATCCATATTAAGGACTCCATCACAGAAAGTGGAATTCGTAGTACCCATATGGGTAGAGCAAAGGCCCATGCTGGGTAGAACAAGGAATCTCTCTGCTTGAAAAACACGGGTAGCTTGAAAACTGTCATTGCCAGTTCTTGCATACCATTGAACATCACATTGATGAGACTGAAGAACAATGCTCCCCAGAACTTAGCAGCATCATTAATTTGGCCAGCTTTCATTTGTGTTCTTAAAAATACTGTGAATGCAATAGTTGCCATGATAGTGATCTGTGTTGTTTTAAAGATGAAAACAAAAGAACTTCGCTTCATGAGCAGCCATTCGCGTGCAAAACATGCCCTGAAGAGTTCCCTGTTGGAGATGCCGTATTTTTCTTTCACCAATGCGGCAGGGTGAGCTCGGGACTTATCATAAGGAACTCGGAGGTCTGATGTCATTTGTTGCCCAACATGAAAATCATTGAAGGCGTTTGCAAAATCCTCTGCAGAGACATATCTAAATGGCTGATTCTTCTTACACCAATACTGTTGTTGGTCCTTCTTTGATGTTACCTCCTGCAGAAAGTCTGCAATTCCTTTCCTTTCAGGGCATTTGAATCCCATGAACTCAAAAAACTGAAGGACATTCTCACGTGGTCCCTGATACACAATTCGACCCTCGGAAAGCAGGATAACATCATCAAAAAGCTCAAATGTCTCAGGTGCCGGCTGCAGGAGAGAGATGACCATGGTTATATCATTGATGTGAACCATCTGTCTCATGAATTTGGTGATTTGGAAAGTTGTGGAACTGTCCAGTCCAGTGGATATTTCATCCATGAAGAATGCTTTTGCTGGTCCTACCAACATTTCACCTGCATTTGACATTATTAATAAAACTTAGGCATTGGTACAAAATCCTTAACTGGTCAAGTTTTCAAATTCTCAAAAGGCATCTTGATTCTTTTTCAGACATACCTGTGGTAACACGTTTCTTTTGTCCGCCAGAAATTCCTCTTCTCATGTCATCTCCCACCATAATATCAGCACAGATATCCAATCCAAGAATCTGTTGGAAAACCATGCATACATTAGTACAACCTAAAGGGTTAAAAACGCCACCAGCATACAACAGAAGTTTAGGAGTGTTTGAACCTTCAGCACATAATCTGTAATCAAGCTGGCATCCTGTCCTTCCACTGCCGTGGCCTTCATGAATGCATCAATTTCAGGATCTGGTTTAATACCTGCTTCTTTCTCTCTTCTTGACAACTCAACCAACAGATCATATCTGGTTCCAACTCCCAAGCATCTACCAGAGAAATCTAATGTTTCTCGGACAGTCATCTCACCATAGTGCAGATCATGCTGACTAATGTAAGCGCTTGTTCTTTGAGGTACAAATTCATGAAATTCATGACCACAGTAAGTGATTTTTCCAGTAATCTGTTCATAAACTTATAGTCAGCAACAGATTAAAAAAGGAAACCGCTACCTATTCCTAATTGCCATAACCACGGCTTATCTAAGGAGCAAGGCAAAACTCAGAATAGTATTTCCATTTAAAGGGAGTCATGAGGAAGCAACATACTCTAAGATCATCATCAGCTTTGCCTGCCAGGGCTTTAAGCAAGGTTGTTTTTCCTGAACCAGGAGGACCAAGAAGAAGTGTCATCCTGAAACCAAAGACCAAGTCAAAGCAAAAGTTCAAAAGATCAGGAAACATTGATAAAGATACAGGAAGGAGGTAAACACTTCCATCAAAGTTTTTCGGAAAAATATATCTCAAGTGTAGTAAGAGAGATCATACCTTGAAGGTCTTATAATTCCACTAACATCTTGTAGTATCTTAACCACCTTTTTCTTTGATGGAGAAAGTCCAATCATACCAATAAGACCCTATACAAAGATCCATCTTGTCAGAATTACTGGGAACAGAAATACAGGAGCTCAAGCTTGTAAAATACACAGAAGCAAGCTACTTCTTCAAACTAAAATTATCTCATCTTGTTCTTTCGCAGTGTCCGAATCTAACAAAGGTTTTGAGCTAAATGTACTCCACAATCAGAATCAAATAAACTCGAGATTCGAGAAAGGAAGTTAAATATAGGGAAATTAAATTTGCTCTTTAAAAATGCCAGATGATCATCTTAAACAACCCCAGTTTTTCATGCAAAAAAACTCAGTCAAGAAACAGGACTAATTACCTCCAAGGTATTCAGTGTAGAATTCCAGAGAGTTGGAAGTGCTCTGCCGCCGACATAAGCATCTCCTTCAATAGATAAGTTCTGAAACCTCACTTCAATCTTCGGAATCTCAATCCCAACTCTGTACTCCCAAAACCAAAACCAAAAATTCAATACAAAATCACCTTAAACAAACAAAAATTTCTTTACCCAAATCTCAGAGAAAAACAAACTCCAAACCTGTCAGTTCGATCACGAAGTCGTCTAAGGAATCTTTCATTATCATCTTCGACAACCTTAAGAATACTCTCCATCAACTGCTTCTTGTCCTGAGCATCAAGATTAGTAACATCAACCTCATTTGTAAGCACTCTTCCATTACTCACAACTTGCTTCAGCATCCCTTTTCTCAACCTATCATAAGTAGGCAATCTCTCAATAGCAGCCCATTTAAGCTCTTCTTCATCGTCCACCATTTCTCTCCTCGTACTATTCCGACTAAAAACATCAGACGGACCTTGCCACATATCTCTCACACTCTGTGACCTCCTGCTACTGCTTGTCACCCTCGACAAATCATCCCCCGTAAAAGCAGCCATTTTTGTCACCAGCCCACCTCCAATTTCACTAATTCACCTCCAAAATCAATTTAATTTTCTCGATTTAGGAAGAACAAGAAAGAAGGAACAAATTCAACCCAAACAGAGTAATTGGGCAAAAATAATTTTAAAAAATGAATGAATGAAATGGGAATTTTTCCTTTTGGAGAAAACAGACCTGAGGGTCTGAAAGGATACTTTTTGTTTCTACAGAATTTTTTTTGTTGATGAAGCACTATATATATGTGATCATAGACTGATTGAGAGTCGTGGGAGAAGACTTTTGAAGTAAGCAAAGAGGTTCTCTGTTTTTCTCTTTTTTTTTGGGGGGGATTTCTTTATAGTTTGAGAAAAGTTGTTTTCTTTCAGTTGTTGAATTTGGAGGTTACCTGGTCAAAGAGAGACTACTAACTAAAAAATAAAAATGGGTTTGGGTCGGTTCCCGCTGTTGAGCATTTCAAACGACCAGCATGACTTGCCGGTAACCCGAATTAATGTATATTTGAACAAAATAGACGACTCAAGATCGTGGGCCAAAATATATCTTGATATGTAACACAAAAGTATCATAGCGACTGTATTTAAGATTTTATCGTATAACAATAGAGTGTAAGAAATAAAAATAGGACAGAGACACGTATATATAATAACTATTTCTGTAACGGGTGGGATTCAATCATAATTATAAAGATATAATAAATATTATAGAGATCATAATTGGATATGATATTGATTTAAAGTGTTCAACTTTTTTATGATCCCATAATTTTCTACATGATTATAATAAATAAATGTTACATCATTCATAATAAATACCACTCCTATTTTTCAAGATTTCTTTGCCTTTTTGTCCCACCCTTCTAGAATGGATTTCTTTCTTCATGAGTGTAAGTTTTCTTTTTTTTTTTGGATATTATTCAAATATAAAGTCGTATGTACTGTATGAATGAGTTTTATACATACATAAAAAAAAATTTCACGACTAAAAGCCACTTATAAAGACAAAATACAAACGGAACATTTTATTCTGGTGACAGATCATTGATGGGAAATTATGGGATGTGAGAGTTTAGACTTAATCAAAAAGTCCGTCCAACCGGGGCCATTTTCTCGAGTGCGATATTCATGAAATGCCTGCGAAAAGAATAAAAATTGGCCAATTAGTGGAGACATTTTCCACTGAAGCCCTTTTTTTTTTTTTTTTGAAATAAAAATTTCAATTAGCACAGCAAATTGGACAAATAAATATACATACATACATTTTTATATATTCAAACAGTGAACGTGGTGGTTAATATTTATTATAGGACTACTCTTTTTCAATACCAGATTGGCTGTAATTTGTTGACTGAGTATTAGAAGCTTCTATCCGGATTTGGCAGTATTGTTATGTTCACACCTGGTTAGTATATATGCCGGTTCTTTTCTTGTACTACAGTACAGTACTATGTTGTTGATTGCTGGCTTCAAGCGTGTTCAACAGCGAGATTCCACATCTTCAACTCGCACGTTGGATTCCATTTCATTTATGTATCCTACGTCGCCACGTTATGTATCTTAAACTAATATATCATGCTTCATATATTTCTTCCCTCCCAAAAAAATTAGTTTAACGTAATTACCTTTTCTTTCTTTTTTCTTTCCGGAGTGTGGTTTTGTTGCTCATTTTAGTTTAGATTTCGCGAGAGACATTTAAGATTTTTTTATTTTTTATTTTTTTGCGTTTTAGCTTTGTACTGGACATATTGAAACAAACTCTCTCGTCTGTTTGAAGAGTGTGATTTTGCAAAAGTAGTTAATTTGGTCTGAGACAGCAATTGAGAAACATAGACATTTTAGTTACAAAATGGAGAAGATTTGTACCCGCGTAGAAAGAGTAAACAGTTACTTTCAACTCTTGCATATATTATCACATATTACAAACAGATACTTTTAAAATGTCGAAGGACTACGTCAGTTGGAAATGTGGTGAAAGAGATTCAACAAGAATTAAGATGGCAATACAACATTGTTGTAATTAACAAGATCGTACCAAGTGAAAGAATTACTCCATATGTTCTAAAATTATTGTCTAGTTAGATATTTCACTTTTAGTACAATTTGAACTAGAAATGAAAACTCAAACTGGACAATAATTATGGGACGGATGGAGTATCTGATAGAGATAGTGATTTTCAGTTAGATTGTTATATTTTACAGTGTCATGTATACATTCATAACAGCTCAATTTTAATAGTTTGTACAGATGTACTATGATGGAAGATACATAGCTGGATTCGTACCATTCCAAAAATTGCAACAGTTGATCGTTTTTAAAATGATGCACTATAATGTTTATCATTTAAATTTACCTCTTATTTTCTTTTTTCCATGCACAGTATTGTCATTTATTGCTAATATTATACTCCCTCTGATCCTTATTATAAGTCATTTTGAATTTGTCCTAGTTTTATATAAGATGCTTTTTTTAATTGGAAAAAAAAATCTTCAAAATATTTTTTAATAATTAGAAGAACACAACGGGTGTGGAAATATATTTTTAAGATTTTCTTCAATTAAAAAGATATTTTAGGTGAAATCTAGAACAAATCAAAATGTCTTATAATAAGGGACGGAAGGAGTAACTGACTACATCAACTAAAATTAATTAATTAATTAACAAGAGTTGATCCAAAATAAGCGAAATTTTCAGTAGTTTTTATTTGTTCATGTGAAAAACTAATCGTTTCTCTTTATCGATATTGGAAGCGAGTGACACGCACATTAAATAGTACATATTCTTAATTACAAAAAGATATTAAATTAGTAAGAAGTTGAATATTTTGAGACGAATAACATAACGATGACAAATTCTTAAGAGTTACTTGTGAATCCACGACTACATCGTACATGGCACACTCGACAAAATATAGATAGCATAGCATTCCATCTCCTGCCAAAGACGATAAGTAATTTTTATAGCTTTATGATGGTTTGTTAATCACGTTCTAGTGCAATAAAAGTTTCATGAAAGGAGTTCGAAATTTGTTAAATCCATTGAGCAATCTTAAATTATTTAACCAGTTGTTTTAACTATTGAGGGTGTTTATAATGTGACGAAGTTAAATTAGTTATTTTTACTGAGAATAGACACTTCACAAATATGCAGGAAAAAAGAAGTTAGATAAAAGGTAAAACATCACTTAAGTCTTTTTTGTTTGAAAAAATATGTGCTTGTTTGGACGTTATCTTATATTTCATTTTGCCACTTAAAAGTGGAAAGTGTTTCAAGTTGAAAACTAAATGGGAAATGAAAATATTGTTTGGATGGTATTTTGAGCAAAAAGTTCTTTGGATGTTGGTTTTGAAAAAAAAAACTTTTGAACTACATTTTGAAATATCAAGTACGAATCATCACTAAAGAATTAAATACTGTCAATTATAATCATTTTAAAAAATAATTTTTTTAAAAACAATCACTAAACAACGGAAACTTGGCAAATTTTTCACTCTAAGATTTTCCTTTGTTAGATTTCGTCACTGAACTACTTGTTTTTCAAAAATAGTCATTACAGTAACAAAAAGTATTTCAAGTTGGAATTTAAAATGTAAATTAGAAAGTTGTTTGGATGATGTTTTCTTTTCCATTAGGTTTTGTATTTAAGAAATAAAATGAATTAAAATGTAAAATGGGTTGAAAAACTAGTTCAGTCTTGGAGTACTCACTTCGCATCATCATTAGTTTACTTTGACAGTTTGACAGGAGCATTTTATTCATTGGACAAAATCATAATTAAGCCTCTTTCATCATCAATCTCTTCAAAGAATAATTCACCTATAAATAATATATATCGTTCAGGAAACGCCAGTGAGCAGAAGTTGATTCTTTCCGATGACCTTAATTGTATATATAAATATTTGATGTGGATAATCAGAATTAGTCAATTTGTTAAAAGGGGTTTAAGTCTTTTAAGCATGAAATCATTAAATTCTACAATTCAAGAAAACAGCATTATGACTTAGATATATATATTGATAAATAATTTAGGTCAATATTGCTCTTTCTTGACTGGAATAAGTGATGTTACAGTATATATAGATACGGCATACCAGATATTCCATTAAGATATTTTATCCTTAACCTAAGACCTAGTAAAACTCAAATGGAATCATGAATGCGTGTGGCTGTGATGCGGATGCCCCAAAAATGGGAGTCTTACATTTACGTTCATTAGATGTGGACCATGTGGTAATCAATCTGTATATTAGTACGTCTTAACTGTCTAGTTTACATTAATATTTTTTAACTTAACGAAACATTATAATTGGATCAGATAACATTCGAATGGTAAATTGACTTATTATAATCAGGGTTTGCTAGCTACTTAGTGAATTAAGCTTATAAGTATGTAAATCAATCTCTTAAAATAAGAACAAATCAAACCTACGCAGAGTTGAAGTTGCTCTATCAGTCAAGAAGGAAAGACTAAATGAGCCCTCAAAGTATTTTCTCTTGTAGGAGTATTATCAAACTAGCTAGTGTACTTACTAGCATAAATTATATCAATGAATTTACACATAAGTGGTTGTGGCAATTTCATCCTTTTTTTTGGGCCTTTTTCTTTCTTTTTTTTTAATAATAATTATGGTGGACTTCATCGTGGACAGGAGCCAAAGCAGAGAATCGGAGCCCCACTTATTAGGCTTTTTAAAACTACATACACATCATATTGAATCTTCATAATTGGTTGCATTTAAAAGGTGTGATTAACTAATATTCTAATTATTATTTTAATATAGTACTACCCCTTTTTACATATGGCGGGCTGCCTCTAATAGTTGGTTCCAATGCACAAGAGTAGGAGGTACAATCGCATTCTGGCTGGTGTGCTGATGATTATGTTTATTGATTGGAATTTAACGTCATGTTTTGAGGCAGTGAATAATACCTAAATGGTTCAAAATCTTACATTTGATTGTTCGTATATATGCTAAGCCTAAAAAAATTGTAAATATATATTCCATGTGTTTCGCGTAATAATTTGGTTAGTTTAGTTTTTAATTTTTACTATTATTTAAATTAAAATAAAAATTCACACTAGATAACAATTTTAAAATGAAAGAAGTACAATCATAGCAAGGGAAAAAACTAATATATTTAAAATTACCACCTTTTTATAAAATAAAATCGTAATCATATACATATGATCTCTTTCTATTCATGTAAATATTGAACACTTGCTCCAATGGGGTTTGAGGATAACGCCCACTTTTTCCTCCAAAATGCAATATATAGTTTTGAAACAGAAATTCTTCACTTCTCCTATTGTTTTCGCGCTTGGAACGTGGTCCATCCTCCATAGTACCAAACCAAAGGGGTTGTGGTGGAGTGGTAAGAATTACTGCACCCTTAACTATAGGTTGATGGTTCGAACCTTGTCATGGAAACGGAGCAATTTTAAATTTTTTGGCCAGCTCTCTCACCCATCGAGATACTTACCATGAACGAGATAAATTAATCACTCTTACCAACAGTGTACACCTTACAATATGGAAAAACAAAAAAAAAACTCCACACTACCATATAGTACTATAAGAAATGGATAGTATTAGGTCTCACATAATATGGCCTAAGTAATTTTACCGACAATTGTTGACTTTCTTTTGTCTAAGTTGGCCAATTTTATGTCGTTATTATGGTCAATTGCTGTCTTTCTAACCGTTTTTCGTTTGAAAGGGGAAAAAAGTCAAAATTGGGGTGTTTAAGTACTCCAAATATCATCATCAATTCATTAAAATTTTCGGGGCTTGACTGGAACATGTTAAAAGGCAAACACAACAGCAGTTGACTCTAATTGACAAAAAATAACAAATAAACTCTGCATCAATTTTGCCTCATAAAAAATAGAACGAACAGATAATATTTGTTTGTCAATTTAATGTTGTTGTTGTTAATAGGCAGTTACTATTGGAACAAGCAGGAAGGCTGAGTCAACAACAGTCAGGGTACAAAAGATATTTCAAGCTGAAAATTCCACTCATGTCAGCACATAAATATGTTCTTCTCTTATTATTTTTATTAATTTTAATTCTCTGCTGTATTTCAATTACGAATGAAGGAGGCTATACTACATATATATTGTTGTTGAAAATTGAAACTCCCTCATTTAACCAGGAATTAACTTGTCCACGTCTTATCAACACCCAATTCAACTGGTGAAATTAATCAACTGATATCTCATCGTTTATTGAATATTATTATTGACAAAAAGCGCAACAACGAAATTTCTTACATGCAGACTTGCTAGTAACGCAAAAATACTGTAGTAACTTTAAACTAGATATAGTTAGCTAGAGTTTAATTATCAGTTCAATTACTAAGTACATATATATATATATATATATATATTTTTTCCATCTCATGGTATTAAACTGAGTACACATCGTTATTCAAATAAATATTTTGTGAATATTCAAAGTTTCTTTCTTCTTTTTTTTTTTTTTTTTTAAAAAAAACAAGGTATGTTAAACAAGATTTCAACATAATTTGAGAGGTTTAATAGTCTGTGTATAGCAAGAACAAAAAAGGAAAACCAAAATGTAAACTTTATCCAAATATCTAAAGAAGTGATAGTCAAAATCAATATGAGCAAATGTCCACTAACGAACTATGAAAAATGCTTACAAACTTTTGAGTGGATGGACTTTTCAATCCTGATGAAATGAAATGCTTTATTAAATTGTGGGATTTCATCCAACCAAATCTTTTCTTTACATGAAGAAGTCTTCGTTCCAGATGTAGGCTAGTTGTTTGACTTCCCGTTTGGTGGACAGAGAACTAATCAACTCTATCGTATCGGTATTGCCCAATTAACTCACTTATATTTTTTTTTAGTAAAAAAAGGTGTAAGTCTAGTGTTCGAGTTAATACATTGCAATATATGTTACACTGATCATATCATGAATTAATTATAATTTCATAAAAATCACAAGATAATATGCGGCAAAATTTGTTTCAACTAGGCCAATCTGCGTTTGGTAAGTTTGGATGTTCACTCCTTGATTTCAATGAAGTACGTTATATAGTGGGTTCGTCTTGTTATATACGAACTTTTATCTAAGTCTACGAATGTATGAAATAGTTCTTGATGTACAAGGAAAATCGTTTTTGGCGAAAAATGTAACATATGTTCTTGTATTTGCAAGTTCTACTAATGTATCAGTTATGAATTTCGTTGTATATAATATATAGAATCTAATGTATTATTATAAAGTTGACATCTTTGGGTAAAATAAATATATTATTCATTCAATTTTAGACAATGTATGATTCCTTGTGGCTCATCATCATAGTTACTTTTGGAAATCACTAATTATATTGGATTTATCATCATTATTCATCATTGCCTAAATTACCCTGTTTTCCAAAAACATAAAAATAAAAGAATAAAAATTATAATTTTTTTTTTTAAAATTAGATGGCCCTAAGATTTCAAAAAACCTTCTATAATAACCGTTCCCATTCTCGTCCCCTGATCACCTCATCCAACCCTTCTCCCCCAAACGTTATACTAGATTATGTTCACTGACTTTCAATTTATTTTTGCAAGTGGAAGAGCAATGCATGAAATTTTATCTATACATAACCTATTGGGAAATTTAGAGATTCCTACTAATCGTTTGTCTATACACACTTTGCCATACTAGTTTTTTTTTTGTTTTTTTTAAATAGCTTCCTCGGGTTAAAACATTGCCAATACGAATTGTCAAATGATTAAAATTAAGACAATATAATTTTTTTTAATAACAATATGACAATATCATTTAACATAACCAGAATTTATCACATAAATAATCAAAAAAATAAAATATTCATAAATTTTGTATGAGATGAACGTAATAATTACATTGGCTGCTGTTTCCTTGATTAATATACTAATCATTTTGCTTCTCAAAAAAAAAAAAAACTAATCATTTTGAAATTTTCTTTTCCTTTTTGTAATTTTTGTATGGGAATCGTTCATCTGAGAAAGCGTGAAAGCGAACCGAATGCTCAAGGCATCTAGAGTACGCCTTCAATGTCAACCTTATAAAGGCGTGAAGGCATCGGCGTCGTATTGTACGAGGATTAGTAAAGTAAAACATCAAATGAACTATGGAAAGTCAGCGTGAGCTAAAACAGAAAAAAGCCCACAGCTTCAAGAATCTAATTAATGGCTAAATCCCGACGGTGATGAAAGTGAATTAACGGTGAAAAATCCTCTGCATCACTTCCCAGATTCCCTCAAAAAATGCGTTCCAAAGACAAGATCTCCTACTTTTACGATGGTGAGATTCCTAAAAAATTCTCTTAAACCCTAGTCTTTACAATAGAAAAATCCCATCTTTTTTGTTATTCATGCTCCTGTGAAGTTTATGAAATTGTACTGAATCTAGATACGGATTTTCAATTAGTAATAACGATGATAATGATAATCTGCAGGGGATGTGGGGAATGTGTATTTCGGACCGAATCATCCGATGAAACCTCACCGCTTATGTATGACCCATCATCTGGTTCTCTCCTATGAACTCCATAAGAAGATGGAAATTTATGTTAGTCCTTTTTTTTCTCCTCTTCTTCTTTGGCATTCTTTTCTTCTCTTGGGTTTAATTACTTGGGTTTTGTGCTGGGTTTTCGAGATTTCCTTTCTTTTCCCTCTGGTTGGTTCAAGTTTGGATTTTTATTTTTATTTATTTTTTATTTATTTATTTTTTTCTTGTTGTCATTGCAGAGGCCCCACAAGGCGTACCCTGTGGAGCTTGCCCAGTTTCATTCAGCGGATTATGTGGAGTTTCTGCACAGAATCACTCCGGATACCCAGCATTTGTTTCCCAATGAGATGACTAAATGTAAGAATCCACTAATTACTGCAAATTTTGTATATCTTAATTTTAGTCTGTAAAACTTGAGTTTCATATTCACCTAATGGTTAACATTGTTAAAAATGGGAGTTTGGGGGGTGCTATTTAGGTGTCTCGATGAAAAAGAAATTTAAGGTATCCAGTTTCTTTCTTTTTTTTTTTTTTTTTCGCCATCTTTATGTATACTTTTGTTTCAATTGTTAGTAACTTAAGTCTACTGCCTTTGCCCATACTTTTGCTACTATTTTCATAAAATCTCTTTGGGTTGTACGTTTAAACTTTTGAAATATATTGCTCCGTATAATTGTGAAATTTATCTTCACTTGAAATATCAATCTGGTGCTACTGGAAAATATGAAGAAAAGCCAGTAATTTGCGTCTATCCTCCACAATTCAATCAGTTGTAGTCACTTGGCTGTGATTGTTAGCTGAATCTTGATTTATAAAACCGGTTGCAATGCTAGAAGTGTGAGAAAGTTGCTACGGTGCTTGTCTTTGGTTCAGATTTGAATATTTTTCTGTTGATTTTGATTCGAGTTTGGATGTTTCCATGTCCCAAATTATGAAGTTGCCCGTGGAAGTGTTGTTGTTGTAAGATTCCCATATATGGTAGCCATAGCCCATAAGGTTATGTATCTCACTGCTTTCTTGGGTATATTGGCTGTTGGACTTGATCATAGAAGCACTAAGATGCTTCTGTGTTTGTGGTTCTCCAGTACAACCATTGATGATTTGGAAGTGTTTAAAAGAATTAGGTGGACAAAATTCCCTTTCTTTTTCTTTCATCACCTTTGTCATGTAGTGGTTAGGGAATTAAAATTTTTGTTTTTTCATTTTTTTATTTTTCATGTTTTGAAATTTATTCTGTTTGAATCAAATGCTCAAATCATTTGGAGGATTGGAATTTGGATCTTATGTTTTGTTTAAGCGTTCTTCGTTTTGGCTGCATTTTGACCAAACTCAGTTTTTCAGATAACCTTGGTGAAGACTGCCCTGTATTTGAGAACCTGTTTGAGTTTTGCCAGATTTATGCTGGAGGAACATTAGGTAAACTGGATGTGATAGTTTTTGAGTTATTCTCTGTTGCTTACAAGTTACAATTGCTGATACAATATATTTGCATTACCAGATGCTGCAAGAAGATTGAATAATCAGCTGTGCGACATTGCTATAAATTGGGCTGGCGGATTACACCATGCTAAGAAGTGTGAGGCTTCTGGATTTTGTTACATTAATGATTTAGTCCTGGGGATTTTGGAGCTTCTTAAGCATCATGCAAGGGTGCTGTATATTGATATTGATGTGCATCATGGGGATGGTGTGGAAGAAGCCTTTTACCTAACTGATAGGTAATATAATATTCTATTTGGTTGGGATAACCGGACTGGATTGTATCTCCAATCACAATGCTCCAAAAGTAATTTGGTTAAAATGATAACATATCATTGATTACCAGTATGCTTGTTCCTTCAATTTGATGGGATGATAACAGATATTTGTTTTTATATTTTGTGCTGAAGGAAATGGGTAGCTTATCTGGCCTTAACAGGCCTCTAAATTAAATTCAACCGGGTTTAGAAGAACATGCAATAGATCTTGTTATATGAGTTTTTTGATCTATCTGTTGATTTGATTAGATGATATGTCTTCCCTTTGCAGGGTGATGACAGTCAGTTTTCACAAGTACGGGGATCTGTTTTTCCCTGGAACTGGAGATGTTAAGGTAAGCATCCTTTTTTCATCTGTGCAGTGCTTCTTGAATCTGAAGATTATATATTCTGATTGTATTTGCTGTTTCCTCGTTTATTATTAAGGAACCCGAAAATATTTACTTCTTAAATGGAACATCTCTTATGCTTTTTGGCTTCATTATGTAAGATTACATTTTCTGCTTGAATCTTTCCTTGTTTTTCCCTAGATATTACTCGGTTCCTATCTGGCCCATATCTTTGGCACAAAGGTTTGGTTGTTGCTTAGGTATTGCTAGTTCCATTACTCTGGCCTTATTGCCACATGAAGGCACTTTGATTCGACTATTAGTTTCCTGCTTTCATTATATTCCTTGAAAGTTTGGAGTTGTGTGATTCTCATTCAACTTGTTCTCTTTTCAAAATATTTTTGTTTAAATCCCTTCTGAAGGAAATAGGAGAGAAAGAAGGGAAATATTACGCCATAAACGTGCCTCTCAAGGATGGAATTGATGATAGCAGCTTTACAAGATTGTTCAAAACAGTAAGTTAAAAATTGAATTTTATGATAATTTATCGGTGTTGTAGATGATTCTTCGAGTGACGAATATTCCTCCTCTGAATATCTTGCTTTAGATTATTGCAAAGGTGGTGGAGACTTATTTACCTGGTGCAATTGTTCTCCAATGTGGGGCAGATTCCCTTGCTGGAGACCGTTTGGGGTGCTTCAACCTTTCTAGTGATGGTATTGCTCTATTTTGTTATTGAGGAAATGTTTTCTCTGGGTCCTGTAACAGTTATCAATTTTAATGTGTAATTCTTTCAATTGACGCAATGCTGTATGTTCGTTTAAATTATTTTATTGTCTTGTAGGACATGCTGAATGTGTCAGATTCGTGAAGAAATTTAATCTGCCTCTTCTGGTGAGTTTTCTGTTAAAATTTTGAGCAACCTATTGAAACAACTTCGATGTTTTACCTTAGAACATATGAAAAAGGTTATTCTTACTGCAGGTAACTGGCGGTGGGGGATACACCAAGGAGAATGTTGCCAGATGTTGGGCCTTTGAAACTGGAGTACTTTTGGACACAGAGCTCCCTAATGGTAACACATAGTTATGTTAATCTTGCTATTTGAGTTAGATAAATTTTGTAGATAATTTTCTTATAGGAGCTTGACATAGGTGACTTTGTTTTCGTACAATTATTTATTGGAGCTCAAATCGCTTGAAAGAAAGCAAGGCTTCTGTTATATGATTGATATCTTAAATCACTTGGAATTTTCTGCCTTCTCTTTTTGAAGTTTTAGAAAGTGGGCGTTGGATACCTTATGAGGGATGCTTAGTCGGGTAACATTCATGGCAAGGGGTTTGTCCTTTTGCCTCTTGAAACAATTGAAATTAACTTTGGTTGATGCTTTCATTTGCAGAGATTCCGGACAATGACTATATTGAATTTTTCAAACCTGACTATTCTCTCAAGATTCCTGGTGGCCTCATAGTAAGTTCTTCTGTGTTGTTGATTTGATTAATTGTGTACATAAGCTTTTTGGTTATCCGAAAGCTTTAATTCACTCGATCATGCCAGCACATTATCCATCCATCAACTTCATTTTGATTCAATGGTTAATCAATTGTGCCATTTCCAGATAACTGTTTGCCCAATAAGTACGTTACCTATCTTGTAATTTCTGTGATTGACAGGAGAATTTTAATAGCAAATCGTATCTTGGCAACATAAAGATGAACGTTCTGGAAAATCTGAGATACATCCAGCATGCTCCCAGTGTTCAGATGCACGAGGTAATTTTGTAGAAGATCTCCCAGTTTCTAGCTATTTTCAACAATGGAGATAGATCTGTTTTAATTTCACTAGGATTATAATAGAAGAGTTATAAAGAGATTTGAATTAGTGATTTGAATGAATTCGATTAGTGTTTGATTTGACTTTTAACTGTATGCACTCCAACTTTATTTGTATGAGATGATTTTTTCAAAGACCTGTTGTCATTTGCTATTTTTTCAGGTCAAAAGTTATGCATGTATACATGTAGGCATTCATGCCACCAAACTTGTTTGTCCCTTGTTGCAGGTGCCTCCAGACTTCTACCTTCCAGATTTCAATGAAGATGAGCAGAATCCGGATGAACGCATGGATCGTAAGTTGAAGCTCCTTTCTTTTGCTTTATGATTGCTATATCATTGTGTACTCTTCTAATTGAATTCACCCATTCAGAACACACACAAGACAAGCAAATCCAACGGGATGATGAATACTATGAAGGCGACAACGACAATGATAACCAGATGGATGATTCATGATTTTTGTGTAATGTAGAGCTAACATTAGGAAATTATTCTTTTACAAGGATCACAGCTTAGTTCAGAAGTAGAATAGTGGACATGACTTTCTGTAGATATCTGATAGAAGAGCTGGTGCAACACCTCTTCTTTTGTTTATAGTAGCTCTCTGGGTTGCACTTCCCTTCTATGTAAATTATGATGCTTTTGGGAAGCTTTACTGTTGGATGCATATTCTGATATTCACGAGCAATTTCGCCAACTTTTAGGATGAGCTGTTTGGGCCAATTTGATGCAACAATTTTATAACCAGTCATTAGGTGAATGTTAAAGCAAAATCTTTACTTTTTGTTGCTCGTGGAGGAAAACAAAATGTGGTCGATGCGATTCATTGATAAAACGGAAGAATATACATAAGACTACTTAACTGACTGTTCTTTGGAACTGTGAAATCTTAACAGCAAAAGGAACTCTTGCTTTGTTACAAATACTTTCCAGAAACCCGAAGTAATGTCTCCATGACTTCTTGAGATGAAGAAGAAAGAAAATTTCCCAGAAAACCAACTGCAGAACCAGGTCCTATACCAGAATAAAACCACAAAAACTCAAATTTATCATTCTCATCAACTCCCTGATTAGAAGCTGCAGGTGCATTTTCTCTTGATAGCGCATCATCAGGGCAGCTCTTCGTTAGGGGATCACCACAAAGTCCATCGTTTCCTTCATAAGTTGATGGATTATTCAAAGTATCGAAATGATTCCCTGACGGTACACGCCCTACGAAATTGTTAATGACAAGTTTAGGCAGCTCAGGGCGTCTATATCGGCCAAACTTTGAGGAATAGTTCCAGAAAGCCGGTTCAATGACAAATCCAGGGACTCCAGATGCTTTAAATTGTCAATCTTTTCGGGGATCTTTCCACTTGAAGCCAACCCAAGTTACTAAGTGTATTTGGAATTTGACCGGAAAGGCTATTATTGGCCAGATCCAATACTTCTAGGTGCCATAATTTTCCAAGGCATAGAGGAATCTTTCCAGTTAGCTGGTTATTGGCGAGGGATATGACTCTTAAAGACTGTAAGTTGCACAATTCCTCAGGAATGTTACCAGTTAAATGATTCTTAGCTAGTACTTCCTCCGTCTCATAATTATTGTCTAGTTTGAGTTTTCCTTTCTAGTTCAAATTGTACTAAAATTGAAATATCAAACTGGATAATAATTTTGGGACAGAGGGAGTATAAAATATTCAAACCGTGAGTTTGTTGAGTGATTAACATCAAATAAAGGAACATGGCCAGTCAAGAAATTGTTGGAAAGATCAAAATAATAAATATCGGCGGAGGTAGTTCCCCACCAACCAGGGAGAGAACCGGTTCTGCTGGCATTTTTTAGGCTTATCCAACTACTTTTGCTTTGAGTTTCAAGCCGAGGAAATTGGGTTCATGAAGACAGAATCCATCCCAAGTTCATAAAGCTGAAATGGAGGGATCCATTGGGAGCTCACCTTAAAACTAAGAAATTGGTTATTGGAAATGAGCAACGTTCGCAAACGTTTGAGTTGCGCAAGATCAGATTCAGATAGCTCACCGGACAATGGATTGTAAGAAACATCTAATTTCCTTAGTTCAGTAAGATTTAATAAAGTTGGAGGAATTGTACCAAACAGATGATTATTATTTAGCATTAGACTATCCATCATCGAAAGTTGTCAAAAACTTGAGGGAATTGGACACTTGAAATAATTACCAGAAAGATGGAGTGCAGTGAGCTGTTCGAGATTACCAAGCTCATTCGGTAAGTCTCCACCAAGTTTGTTTCTTCCTAGATAAAGTATGTTCAGAGAAGTCAGGTTCCCAAGGCACAAAGGAAGTGATCCAAAACTAATTCCATGGAAACGAGATTAGAAACGTTACAGAAGGAATTTGGCAGTAAAGAATCGAATGTATTGGAATAAAGGTCAAGCCTAGTAAGGCTGGTCGATTTTCCAAACATGTCAGGGATCCGACCTCGGAAATTATTATTTCTAAGATCAAGATCCACTTGAGACAACCAATCAAGAGATTCACTCAGGTTGGTGTTGGAGAAGTGGAGAGTTCTTAAAGAAGCAAGTCCGGAGATCCACTTGAGACACTTGATGGTTAAGGAAGGGACAGATTCGTCAATGTTCAATCCATAAACATATTCGTCACCACTAGATGTTCTGGTTAAGGAAGAAGCAGATTTCCCCCCTATATATAAATGTTGTAAGTTGGAGAGATTTCCAACATGTGGAGCAACCTCCCCGGAAAAGTTTGCACCAAAGAGGTTGAGATGTTGCAAATTTTGCAAGGATTTAACAAATGATGGAATTGGGATACCTAAAAAGTTATTGTGGCTGAGATCCAAATACTCCAAGTGCTCCAAATTAAGTATGGATGGATGTATTTTGCCTCCCAAGCAGCTTTCATTACAGGTGAAGAAGTCTAAGAAGTCGACATCAAAAGGGCCACGAAGATTGAGCATTTGAACGGCGCCGGTGAGGTTGTTGCAGGTAATACCATCCCGAGAACAACAGTCTCGCCCTGTCCATGATGAAAAACGATTCGTTTTATCAATCAGGTTGCCTTTGATGTCCAAGAGAGCTTGTCGTTCTCTGTCGATGCAGCTTGCACTAATTGATGAATAGTTGGAAGTACTTTCAACGTATCCAAACTGAAATGTTAGGCAAACAAAATGAACAAGAAACATGAGCAGCATTAATCGATTCTTAGAAAGGCTTTCCATTGTTGCTGCTGGTTAAGTTGGAAACATACAATATATTTGAAAGGGTTTGATTCTCCTAAGGAACATAGTTTGCCAATTTATACACCATTGCACGTTTTTTAGAACTGATTCCCTCCGTTAAGTTGGAGGGTCCTCGGGGATTAGTTTTGAAAGTCTTTGCGGAAGTCAAGAACAAAAACTTGAGGAATATATGATTTGATCGTGGAAGAGAAATTTTGCAAGGTGTTTTACCTTGTGTTTCGCAAAATACTCTAGGTTTTAAAACAGGAGGAACTCTGTCGGTGAACATTAAGTGAAGCTTCTTCCGTTCCTTTCACAAAAAAAAAAAGAAAAAAAAAGAAAAAAAAAAGTCTAACTTGGAAGTCTAAAATCTATAAACCAGATGCCATAATCTTTCATATTGGAAATTATAATACTGAGAAACTGAACATTCTGTAATAAATTTTGGATGATATGAATCTCTTAAAATTCAATTTTGAGATAATAATTTTTAAAATTGGACTATTTTTTAGAGACGCAAGTAGTGTTATTCGTTGATGATCAAAGCTTTGCTGAAACAACCTAACATTTGCTTCCATAACATTTCATATGCTTTTCACATTCGTCACTTTTTTGTCGGTCTATGGACGCGCAAACAACTGAGCTGATCACAGAAAACCTTTAGACCATTAATTTCCTTGATATGTGAATCCACTCTCAATGGTTAAGTCGACAAGACATTGTCGACCTTTTCGTATGAGGAAATATAACTGGATGACAAAGTCGATAATTCATCGATATGAACCAAGTCACCAACGGTATTCTTTGTTCATGATAATCTCACATCTTTTGGTCATTGACTGGCTCGTATTAACAACATTTAATCAACCTTGTCGTCAGGCTAAACCAAATCAGTGATCCTATATTTTGTATAGGATTCAATTTATGAATATGGCCGACTTGCTCGCTGAGATTTTGGCGTCGCTTAATCGCTGTAAGATATATTGAAATGTCTTGATGAGCAACTGATGTGATCATACACACTGATTGACTGGCAATCATCGTTGAAATATTTCAAGATTGGACTAATTAGTTTGTTACGGTGATACTTAAGTAAATATTATAGTAATTACCATTTAGTAACTTAGTTAGGGTGTAATGTGTATATATACACTTATTCAGCCGCCGATGGAAGGGATGAAAAACATGACTCCATTGATAAACTGCTTCTCGATCCTTTACTTATGACGGTATCAGACCAGGGTGTTTTGTTTTCTTTGTTGCTTGATTTTTTTTTTAAACATGACGAATCCAGAAAAATCTCAAGCGTCCGACACAAAACCATTTCTCCTTACGCGGCTAATGATGACCCTGGCCAATTGATCAGGCCCAAATTCTCTTGCTAAAATGAAAACAAAATTTAGCATATGCTGCCAAAAAAATGAAATTATGTACTCTAAACCTCATCTGGTCCTTAATATAAGGCATTTTGATATGTCTTAAATTTCACTAATTAGGATGTTTTTATAATTGAAATAAAAAGTTTAAAAATATTTTTTAATTATTAGGAGAACAAAACAAATGTTAAAATTATTTTAAGATTTTTTCTACAATTAAGAAGACATCCTAAGTAAAATTTAGAACAAATCGAAATACATAATAAGAAGTACCGGAGGGAGTGATTCGCTGAACTTCTTTCTTGGCTATGAAAATATGCGTACATGCTGCATTGACTAACAAAATATATATCTTGTTATTGCAACCCTTACTTTATTTAGCTTGAGAAGGCAAAAACTAAGAAGAAAAAGGTATGCTCAGTCAAATTCCAAATTATTAATAAAAGGAACTTATAGTTCTTAAACTGAATTATAAGTAAGATTATTTAATTTATTGTGTTCTTCTAATTATTAAGAAATATTTTAAAGTTTTTGAGATGGAGGGAGTATAAAACTTTAACCGTTGAAGAAAGGCATAGTATAAAACATTAACATTTCTCATGCATCGACTTTCTTTCGAATTTGCCAACTAGACTAAACATTCGACGCAAAACGTCCTTAAAATGAAAATGAAAAATAAAAAGAATTGTTTTGTGAATTTTACATTGAAAGCGTTATGGATTTTACATATTCGAGGTTTCAGGAATACTCCAAGTCTGTTCCTTTCACAATGTTACAAAATGATTCGGCATAAATTTTGTTTCCTATATCTCTATCGAATTCGTTTGACACCATCATATATAGTCAAGTTGCCAAGATAACAGGGAATGCCTGCTGGCAACAAATTGGTGATTCTGTGCTAGATTTACAGAGATTTTCAGAAATGTTACCATAAAAATGAATTGATCAAAGGCTAAGATCTTGCAAGATTTTGAACTCTTTTCCAATCCGTTCAGGTATCAAATCCTTGATTATTGCCAAGATTAAAAATAAGTAAAGATGTCAAATTTCGTTATGTCGATTGTCGAGGGAAGTGTGCGGAAGAACTCGTCCCCATGCAAATGCAGTAAAAGGAAATTGTGCCCCTGTGAAGACAAAATCCATCACAACGTCTTTAAGCTGCGACAAAAATACAAGAATTTTTTTTAACTTTTGAGCTTCGCAAAAATGAGATTCAGACACCTTCCCGGTCAACGAATTGTGAGAAACATCTAACATTTTTTGTTCGGTAAGGTTCCCCCACGTTGAAGGAATCATATATACTGTACAACTATATATATATATATATATATATATATATATATATATATATAGATGTTCTTACATTGTAAGATGTCCGAAACCTGATGGAATAGACTATAGAGGATTTGAAAGGATTCTTGGAAAGTTCAAGTTCAATTAGATGTTTGAGATTACCAATCTCACTTGGTAATTTCTCCGCTGAGTTGGTTACCTTCCAAATGAATTTCCATAATAAAGTGAAATTACCAACACATTGAGGAAGTGGCCCTTCAATTTGACTATAACTGACATCCATGGAAACGCGACTGGTTAAGTTACACAAGGAACAAAAAAGAACTGAAATGAATTGGAAGAAAGTTAAAGCCTAGTAAGAGTGGCTAATTTTCTAAACAACCTGCGGATCAGGCCGCGTAAATTATTAAAACTAAGATTGAACAGCCAATAACTGAGAGGTAAGATAGAATTCTTGCTATTTGCAGTGAAGTCAAGTGAAACAAGAGAATTGAGATTAGCATTGGAAACAAGAGAAGTGGATTGACGCGTAAAATTTCCTTCTTGGTTCCTTTATATATACTACATCCGTCCCACATTAGAGTTCTGCTTGTGGTATTATCTAAATCAATTGAATTTTATATATTTTCAAACTGAATTCTCAGTTTCCGGCACTAATTCATGCATTTGCTTTCCTTTTTTTTTAAAAAAAGGAATCTTACGCATTTACTATTGGTCATTCCTTTTATTGCAAGTTATATTGGAAGTTTTCATTTCTGTTGTGTGCAACATAAATTTGTTAGTTTGTGATGCAAGTGTCATTAGCTTGTTATTAATTATATGCTGTAAAATTCAAGGGTAATGATACAACAAGTAAAATATTTAGTGAAATGATATAATAACTAATGAAAAAGAATATTCTCATCTGCGTAGAGATTATTATCCAGTTTGGATTTTCATTTTTAGTTCAAATTATGTTAAAAATGAAATCTCAAACTGTACAATAATTTTAGTGCATATAGGAGTATATGGTGAACTTAACAAACATAGCCTTTAACTAGGACCCAAAAATGCTTAATTGACATTTCTTTGAAACTATGAAATCTTGATAGTGAAAGCTACTCAAACTCTATTACAAAGTTTCTAGGAAGCCGAAAGAAACATATGTCTCTGGAGCTTTTTGAAATAAAAAAACACATAAAAAACCTACTGTCTCAACAATCATTTTGAGATAGAGAGACTACATTCAGAAAATATAAAAATAATTTACATGATAGTAAGTCTTAAGTGACTCTTCTTTGGAACCGAGAAATTCTGGCAACAAAAGATACCCTAACTTTGTCACAAACGTTTTCCAGAAACCGGAAATAAGCATGTCTCCATGACTTTTTGAGATGAAGAACGCCAAAAAAGCCCAACGAACCAATCACAAAACCTGGTCCGATACCCGAATAAAACCATGAGAACTCAAACTTATCAGCATCATTATCAATTTTATGATTAGAGGTTGCAGGTGTATTTTCTCTTGATGACGAATCATTAGGACAGCTCTTTGTTAGAGGCTTACCACAAAGTCCAATGTTTCCTTCATAAATGGATGGATCATTCAAGGTATCGAAATGATTCCCTGAGGGAACAGGCCCTACCAAATTGTTGAAAGACAAGTTTAGATAGCTTAGGGCATCTATATTGGCCAAAATTTGAGGAATAGTACCAGAAAGCTGGTTTACAGACAAATCTAGGGACTCCAGATGCTTTAAATTGTCAATTCTTTCTGGGATCTTTCCACTCAAGTTATTGTTGGACATGTTCAAATTTTGCAGCGACTCCAGATCCATTAACTCATCAGGGATCTCACCATGTAAGTTGTTTCCTGCGAGCGTTATGGATTTCACATACTGAAGGTTTGAGGAATATTCTAAGTCTAATCTTTTTATAGTACTCCAAAATGATTCATCATAAAATGAACTGAATATAACATCTGAATTGGAATCATCTGACAGCATCATACTCAAGTTGCCAAGACAAGCAGGAATGCTGCCATCCAATTTGTTCTCTCCTAGATTTAACACTTGAAGGGAAGGCAGTTGACAGAGATTTACAGAAATGTTACCATGAAAATTATTAGATTGAAGCCTAAGAAATCTTAAATTTGAGAACTCTTTCGCAATCCAATCAGGTATCAAGCCCCATAACTGATTATTGCCGAGATCAAAAGTAACTAAAAATATCAAATTTTTCAATGTGGAAGGAAGCTCACCGAATAACTTATTCCCATTCAAATGTAGGACTAGAAGCCCAACCAAGTTACCAAGTGTATATGGAATTTGACCGGAAAGGCTATTATTCGCTAAATCCAACACTCCCAGCTGCCTTAAGTTTCCAAGGCATGTAGGAATCTTTCCAGTCAGCTGGTTATTTGCAAGGGATATTACCATTAAAGCCTGCAAGTTGCATAATTCCTCAGGAATGTTACCAGTTAAGCGATTGTTAGCTAGATTAAGAGATTGAACCTGCAATTTTATTGATTGATTCACATCAAATATAGGAACATGCCCAGTCAAGAAGTTGTTGGAAAGATCAAAGTAAAAAAGATTGGCAGAAGTAGTCCAACACCAACCAGGGAGAGAACCAGAGATGCTGGCATTTTTTAGGCTTATCCAACTAATTTCCCTTTGTGTTTGAAGCCAAGAAGGAAATTGGGTTCCAATGAAGACAGAATCCATTAAAAGGTCTTGAAGCTGAAATGGAGGAATCCATTGGAAACTCACCTTGCAACTAAGAAATTGGTTCTTTGAAATGCGCAAGGATCGCAAACTTTTGAGTTTCGCAAGATTATATCCGCATAATTCACCAGACAAAGAATTGTAAGAAACATCTAAGGTTCCTAGTTCAGTGAGATTCAATAAAGCTGGAGGAATTGTTCCGAACAACTGATTATCATTTAGTATGAGAGTATCTATCATTGAAAGTTGTCCGAAACTTGAGGGAATTGGACACTTGAAATAATTACCAGAAAGATCGAGCTCAGTTAGCTGTTTGAGGTTACCAAGTTCACTTGGTAATTCACCACCAAGTGTGTTCCTCCGCAGATGAAGTTGTGCCAAAGAACTCAGGTTCCCAAGGCACAAAGGAAGTGATCCTTCAAGTTGATTATCACTGAGATCCATGGAAATGAGAGTAGTAAGGTTACACAAAGAGTATGGCAGGGAAGAACTGAATGAATTCAATTGAATATCAAGCTCAGTAAGAGTGGCCAATTGCCCAAGCATGTCAGGGATTGGACCTCGTAAATTATTATAACTAAGATCAAGAATCTCAAGGGTGGTAAGATTGAACAACCAGAGAGGTAAGGTAGAGTTGAGACTGTTTTCACTAAGGTCAAGTGCAACAAGAGATGTTAGATTAACATAGGAAATAGGAGGAGAAATAGTATCAACTAATCCGCAATGTTTCAGTGTCAATGATGACAAGGAATGAAGCGTGTTTATTGAAGAAAACCAATCAAGGCATTCACTCATGTTGGTCCCGGAGAAGTCCAGAGTATCTAAAGAAGTAAGTCCAGAAATCCACTTGAGAGTCTTGATAGTTAGAAGAGATTCACCAAGACATAAATGTTGCAAGCTGGACAGGTTTCCAAGAAGTGGAGGAACCTCCCCACCAAAGTTTGCATCAAGGAGGTTGAGATATTGCAAATTTGTCAAGGATCCAAGAAATGATGGAATCAGAATACCTGAAAAGTTATTATAACTGAGATCCAAATACTCCAGGTGCTCCAAATTCAGAATGGATGGATGAATTTCGCCTCCCAAGCAGCTCTCACTTAAAGGAGTACTAAGATCAAGCTTTTGCACGACACCGGTGAGGTGGTCACAGGTGATACCATCCCAAGAACAACAGTCTCGCCCCGTCCATGACGACAAAAGATTCCCGTCATCAATTAGGCTGCCTTTGATTGCCATGAGTGATTTCCATTCGCTATCGATACAGCTTGCACGGATCGAATGGTTGGAAGTAGTTTCAACGTATTCAAACTGAAATGTTAGGCAAACTATATGAACAAGAAAGATGAGCAGCATCAATTGATTAGGAAGGCTTTCCATTGTTTATATTCGGTTTAACATACAATCTCAAGGGTTTGATTAACTTGAGGAACATAGTTTTCCAATTTATACACCAGCTTGTACTTATGTACGCAACTGATTCCCTCCAAACCAGTACATTTAATTAAGTAGGCGGGTCCTTGGGGAGTTGGGGGATTGATTTTTTTTCAAACTTTTTGTGGAAGTCAATAATAAATAAATCGAGGACAGTGATTTGATCGTTTTTTTGCAAGTCTTTCAAGTGTGAGAGATGTTTTGAGAACTGAAAGAACACTTTCGGTGAACATTTACAGCGAATTAATTTCCCTCCGGATGGATGGAGATATCAAAACAGAGAGTCGGAACAACAAAATTGACGAAGATTTTGTTTATCATGTCATCGAGTTTCGCTAGCTCAACGACTGAGTCAATTAACGTCAGTCAAGCTAATGAATGGCATGCTTTTTCAATACTTTCTGTGTTGGCAACAAATTGAAACGTTGGACAAAGTAAGTGAACAAGGAATATCAGCATGATTACACCCTTAGGAAGTCTTTAATTTCATTTCTTTTGGTTTACTGGAACACACACACACACACAGAGTTTTTGCTAATTTATACACATGAACGTTTTGTTCAAAGTTCAAACTGATTTTCCTCTAAATAATAAGCATAGTCGATTAGGCGTGGGGTTGTTGATTTATGGAACTCTCTTCGTGGAAGTCAACCACAAAATTAAATTGAGGGACCATTATGGTGACATAGTTCATATACAGATGTACCTTTCATCGCATTGATTTTTAGTGGACTTATATGACTCGACCACATATAGTTGACGAACCTTTGTCGACGGTCCTAGTGTTTACTCTTCTGTTAGGCTCTTCATTATTTTAATAATAATAAAAATCGCCTTCGGTATATACATTATTCAAATTTAGGTCCCAAGCTTAATAGATGTCACGTAGCACATGATCCTCAGTGACATTTTCTTGTGACACTCATTGTGACACAATCCAATCACTCTTTATAAATTATATAATTTGTGTTAATTAATACATATACCATTTACTATCACTTTTGAACTTATATATTTTAGAACTATGGGTTCACTTTTTTTTCGGGCTAAGACTTATTTATTTTAATTTTCATAGTTCAAAAAATTCAATAACAATAGCCAGATTTTATAGAAAATAAAACATTGATATAAAAAAATAGAATAAAAATATAAAAATGATCTACTTTAAACAAATGTGATTATGCTATATTTATTAACACAAATTATATAAGTTATAACAAGTAATTGGATCGTGTCATAAAAAAGTGTCATAGAGGATCTGTGCCCTGCTGTCTATATCTAGACAATAGCATTGACGAGTCATAAATTAACCCTAGGCCTATTGGGCCTAGAATTAGATTACTTGGAGATTAAGCTACCGCCAAAACCTATTCCGTTAGGGTTTCGAGAAACATGTATATAAAGAGGTGGTGCCTCTCCCATAATTCATGTCTGATACACGTATCTTCTACCTCTCTTCATATTCTTTCTATCTCTTTATTGACTTAAGCATCGGAGAGTCTACCCTCGGGAGACACCCGAGGCTCTCTCTTGCAGGTTTTAGGCCGTCCGCCGCCGCCTAGATCATCATCGCTGCCCGTCCTAAGGCACCATACAAATCCAAGGTTCGTCAAGTGGCACGCCCAGTGAGACCGATTTGTTTGGTCCTTACAACAAATTTCTTGAAGCGAAGTTAGAATTTTTTGGTGCTTTACGCTACGCAACATCAACATCATGATGGCGCAAGAAAAACAAAAAACCCCTGCTACTGTCGCTGAAAAAGACACGCAGGCAACTCCATCAGGACCATCCTCTAACTTGCCATCTAGTGGTTTGTTTGATCAAAACCTTATGGAGGCCTTTTTCAAATTTCAACCCACCTTGTTCAACAAGTTACAAGATTTTTGTGAAGAGTTTTCACGAACTCGACAGCAACCAACGACAGGTCTTGGTCGACAATCTGGGTACCTTCTCAAAAGAGGGTGAGCCAAACCCTAGGGGCACCTCTCGAGGACATCACCTTGTAACTCGAGAAGAAACTCGTCCCCCTCGAGTCAATGTCCCACCGCCTCAAGTACATTCAACCATCGAGGAACAATTGCGGAAGGTTCTCGGATCTGAAGGAGGTGAGGAGGAAGATGATAGTCCGTTCATCCAACGTATCCGAGAAACACCCATGCCCGAGAAGTTTGAACTTCCGGATTTGAAGGCTTATGGAGGAGATACCGATCCTATGGTATTCTTGCAGATTTATAAGAATGCAATGAGACTGAGGAATGCTTCTAACGATTTCATGTGCAAGGCGTTCCCTACCTATCTCACGGGACAAGCACAACTTTGGTTTGGCATACTACCTCCGAGGAGTATCCGGTCATTTTATGAGTTAAGAACCTTATTCCACACAAGGTTCTTCCAAGGAAAGAAGATTCCTAAGACAATTACAGAGTTGATGTCCCTCAAGCAAGATCGAGAAGAGTCTATTGGAGCGTATTCTTGCCGCTTCACCAAGGAACAGCTTCAAGTAGAAGGAATATATGAGGAAACAATCGTTACAACCTTCACCAATGGCCTTTACCCTTATGAGGCACCCGCGACTTTGAGACAAAAGTTAACAAAGGAACCACCACATACCTTGCAACAACTCTTCTCAGTCGTTGAAACTGAAGTTCGAGCAGAAGAGGATCTTCGTCGAGCAAGAGACACTCTGAATATTCGCGAGAAGCCCATTCTCGAGAACAGAGCTAAAGGCTCGGGGGCAGAGTATGGCTGAGAGCAAAACAAGGGGCACGATCGAGAAAAGCGCAAGTTCAGCAGTACAGAGTACACGCCTTTAACTCGTTCTCGAACAGAGATATTACAAATCCATAAGAACGAGCTGGAGGCCCCGCCACCAATGCTTGCTCCCCTTTATAGACGACCACAACATTTATGGTGCGAATTTCATAAGGATCACGGACATAAGACGGAAGACTGCAGCGCTCTAAAGAATCAAATCGAAGAAGGACTTCAGAGAGGCAAATTCCAAGAGTATTTGCAACCTACCATCTCTCAAGGAGACCACGGTCGAGAAAAACCTCGAATTCATATCAAGTAAAACAGTTCTTGGTATCAAATAAGGTTAATTATTATTAGTAGTAAGAGACAAACTCTATATTTATATTTTTGCATTTAAAATATTTTATGTCAATGATTTTGGCGATTATCTTGTCGTTGAGAATTTACTATTGCTATTAACTTCATCCTGAGATTGGCCATCTCACGGATCCGAATACTCATGGTCCACCGCGCAAACAAGGACACTCGCGGTCCACCGCACAAACAAGGACACTTGCGGTCCACCGCACAAACAAGGACACTCGCGGTCCACCGCGCAAACAAGGATACTCGCGGTCCACCGCGCAACCAAGGAACTCTATAACACAAAAACCTCCTCGAGGCATTCTATCTCTCTTTATCTTATATAGGTGACACCCGAGAACGAAAGAGTTCGAGAACTGGGGCAACACCACAAAACTCGAGAAGACATCAACACTTGTAGCAACCCATATCCTTCTCATCAAGTCTCGAGAATATGGCTTGCTAGGGGCACTTGACGAGTCATAAATTAACCCTAGGCCTATTGGGCCTAGAATTAGATTAGTTAGAGATTAAGCCACCGCCTAAACCTATTTCGTTAGGGTTTCAGAAAATAGGTAACACCACCTCTATATAAAGAGGTGGTGCCCTCCCATAATTCATATCTGATACACGTATCTTCTACCTCTCTTCATATTCTTTCTATCCCTTTATTGACTTAAGAATCGGAGAGTCTACCCTCGGGAGACACCCGAGGCTCTCTCTTGCATATTTTAGGCCGTCCGCCGTTGCCTAGATTATCATCGCTGCCCGTCCTAAGGCACCATACAAATCCAAGTTTCGTCAAGCATCGTTTCTTTTTAATCTTTTTTTCTTTCTTCCTTTGTTTTCACATTAGTGAAAGAAACAAAAAACTAATAAAACTTTTTTGTATGGTTCGTTTGATATAGATTAATGAC